TATCTCCAAAATCTTCTGAAGACTGGAATGTAGTTAACCAAATCGTAATTCCAGTAGATTACCGAGACATGATTTTAGATTGTGCACACAATGGTTCAGCTGGTCACTTGGGTATTTTAAAAACATACAATCGGATTTTGCGAAACTTTTATTGGCCTGGATTAAAGCGTGATGTTGCACGTTTTTGTAAGACTTGTCACGTTTGTCAAGTTGTTGGAAAACCCAACCAAACTATCAAACCTGCACCACTTTATCCAATTCCGATGGTTTCTGAGCCTTTTGAACACATTTTAATCGACTGTGTAGGACCGCTTCCACGTTCAAAATCTGGCTTTAAGTATCTTTTAACGATTATGTGCGCGACTACACGTTTCCCAGAGGCAATTCCTTTGCGTTCTGTAACCACTAGAGCGATCACCAAAGCGTTGGTCAAGTTTTTCACGCTCTTTGGTTTGCCAAAAATTCTCCAGAGTGATCAGGGAACGAATTTTACATCTCGAACGTTTTCTCAAGTACTTAAACGACTTGGTATAAAACATAACGTCTCCACTGCGTATCATCCAGAAAGTCAAGGTGCTTTAGAGAGGTTTCATCAGACTTTAAAGTCAATGTTGCGTACATACTGTTTTGAGCTTGAGGGAGATTGGGAGGAAGGACTTCCATGGTTGCTTTTCGCTTCACGAGAGGTGATTCAAGAATCACTGGGCTTTAGCCCTGCAGAGCTCGTGTTTGGCTACAATTTGCGTGGCCCTTTGGCCGTATTGAAAGAGAGGTGGCTCTCTGATTCAAAAAGCACCACCGTACCGGAGTATTTTTCACAGTTTCGTACACGTCTATACAGAGTTCGTGAATTGGCAAAGCAAAACCTTGAAAAATCACAAGAAAAGATGAAAACTTGGTTCGACAAGAAAGCGAGAGAACGAAGTTTTAGCCCTGGTGACAAAGTTTTAGTGTTATTGCCAGTATCTGGTGGGTCGTTGCAAGCTCGTTATAGTGGCCCTTACGAGATCAAAAGGAAACTGTCAGATCGAGATTATGTTATCCATACATCTGATCGTCGAAAAAGTCTGAGAGTTTGTCATGTAAACATGATTAAACCCTATTATGAGAGAAAGTCGGATACTGAGAAAGTTAAAAACGTCATACAGTCACCTGTTCAAGAGTCTCTATCTGTGGGTGTGTTTACATCTGAACCAGTCGATGAAAAAGATGTAGAACCATCTAGATGTATCATTGAGGGTAGGTTGAAAAACTCTGAGATGCTCGAAAATTTAACTAGCAAACTACCACACTTGAGTCAAACTGAGAAAGCTGAAGTCATTGGGTTAGTGAGAAGTTTCCCAATGTTGTTCAGTGACATTCCTGGTTTAACTTCAGTGATTGAGCATGATATTGATGTTGGTTTTACCCAGCCGATTAAACAACATCCATATCGTGTTAATCCACTTAAAAGGTCGCTTCTGCAGAAGGAAGTTGAGTACATGTTGGAAAATCACATTGCTGAGTCTAGTACTAGTCCATGGAGTTCACCGTGTCTGCTGGTAGAGAAATCTGATGGCACATTTAGATTTTGTACAGATTATCGTCGTGTAAATGCCGTAACTAAAAGTGACTGCTATCCTTTGCCAAGAATAGATGATTGTGTGGATCGTGTAGGTTCTGCTACATATGTTTCGAAACTCGATCTATTAAAGGGATATTGGCAAGTGGGGTTAAGTGAACGTGCTAGAGAAATATCAGCATTTGTCACCCCGGATGCTTTTCTTAATTATAGGGTGATGGCATTCGGGATGAAAAACGCTCCAAGCACTTTTCAACGGCTCGTTAACACCGTGTTGGCCGGTGTTCCAAATTGCGAAGCGTACCTGGATGATGTAGTGTTGTATAGTTCGACATGGCAAGAGCACATGAGTTTGCTTCGACAGGTTTTTAATCGATTGGCAGAAGCTAAACTTACCGTTAACTTGGCCAAATGTGAATTTGGTAAAGCCACTATTGATTACCTGGGAAAAGTTATTGGTAATGGTGAAGTGCGCCCAGTTGCTGCTAAGGTGACTGCAATTTGTGATTTTCCCTCTCCGAAGGACCGTAAGCAATTGCGTCGTTTTCTTGGTATGGTAGGTTACTACCGTTCATTTTGTAAGAACTTTGCTACGGTTGTTTCTCCGCTAACCGATCTGTTGTGTCCAAAGATCCAATTTGAGTGGTCCGATGCATGCCAATGTGCATTTTTGCCAATGTCCAGTGTTGGCTGCACCACATTATTTGAAGCCATTCAGTCTTGCGGTGGATGCAAGCGATGTTGGTGCGGGAGCTGTCCTTCAGCAAAGAGGTGCTGAAGTAGAACACCCAGTATGTTACTTTTCAAAGAAGTTTACTTCTACACAACGGAAGTATTCTACCATTGAAAAGGAGGCTTTAGCAATGGTTCTAGCCATCCAGCATTTTGAAGTTTATCTGTCCAATTATCACCCGATTGTTTTATATTGTGACCACAATCCTCTTACATTCCTAAACACTATGCGTAACTCTAATCAGCGTTTGATGCGCTGGAGTTTATTCTTGCAGCCCTACGACCTTGACATTAAGCATGTCCGAGGTTGTGACAACGTGGTGGCTGATGCACTGTCCCGGGTGGAATAAGTGGGTAAGGTGCATGAAATGGTGTTCGGGAGAAGGTGTTTGAAAATGTTTTTTTTTTAGTTTGTGTTTTGGTGATGAAAACACTTTTGGGGGATGAAGGTGTTACATGTCCATGTATTTATTATTTATTTATTTGTTACTTTGTCGCCCTCTTGTGTTGTGTTGATGGTTGTGTTTTCATTTAGAGTTGATTTCCTCCGCACCTGCAGACAATTCATCGTCGGCTATTTAAGAGCTCGTGCTGCAGTGATTCAGGGACGGGGATTTGAGCGGCCGTCCAGACGTGGAGTTGTGCTCCTTTGTTCTCAGCCTGTGTTTATTGTGTTTCCTCCCCACACTTTATTATTATTTGATTGTTTAATTAATAAAACCCCTAGACTGATCCATTTGTGTTTTTCCCTCATTTAATGTTGTGACTGGGTCGTAACACCATACTACTGTAATATGTTGATTTATTCATACTCGTGAAGCTCGATTCTGATTGGCTGATGACCATTTAAAGCAGTTACTTTTAGATAAAAGCATGGCTTAAGTAGTTCCACGCAGACCGAATTACACTTCCATATCTGAATGATTTCAGTTCATCCACTGACTATAACACTAAAAAATAGAATCAAAATGCTCAGGATGAGATGAATAAGCATTTAGAGACTACTTCTACACACAGGAGCTGTTTAAGGGTAAAAACCTTACAAATGTTATGAAATGATGTTTAATAAACAAATTTCAGGAGAAGCACGATCAGTTTTGACGAGGCTAATTCATTGTTGACAATCATTCTATTATCCAATCAACTTAGGACCAAACACCTATAAATAGTCAAGCACGTCCTTCCTCTGTTTCTCTCGACTTCAGTATCCCTCCACCATCCCAACTCCACACTTTTAATCCCAATACCTACATTAATGGGAGGGGGAGCGTTCTGGAACTGAGCTAGACACTGTGCTCGAAACCCTGTTTCTCTCTCTACCCTAACAAGAGGATTAACAAATGTAAGGGTGTCTTTCAGTCAAATCTGTGTGTGTGAATTTATGGAATAAAGGTATCTGAACAGGTGTGGTGACCATAGTATAAGCAGAATAAGTGACTCCTGTCTGCTGAATTATTAAACAGTGATGCAAATGTCAACCACATCACCGCCTGCTCAGGGTGTGCATTATTTTTGTAATAATTTGGTCGTCTGTTGTCAGTTTGGCCTTTTTCAACCTCTGTTGAGTACTATTGGTGTGATATTGCATGACTGACGAAGGAACAAATAATTCCTTTATTATCAGCTACTTCATCAGCAACCAATACAGAGTCGATTGTATTATTAGATAAAGTAATGTTCAAATTAATTTCTTAGTACTAGGTTGCTGGATCGAGTCCCAGCTGGGTCAGTTGGTATTTCTGTGTGGAGTTTGCATGCTCTCTCCTTGTTTGCTTGGGTTTCCTCCCAAGAGTGTCTTGTTTTTGACTCATTTTGAATCGATTTGTAAATTCAGCGATTCATAACTGGAGATTAAGTGGATCATTTGAATTAGTGAGTCTTTATCAGTAGACTCCCTCTGAATGAATCTTTTGAATCAGCGAGTTGTTGATGACGAAATAAAATCTTTCCAATTCAAAATGACAAGTGCAACCCAGGTTTAACAGAAAACAATCAGCATGTTCACAAGTCAGAAATCACATTCATGCCTTAAAGCAGGGGTGTCCAAACTCGGTCCTGCATAGTTTAGTTCCAGCTTCCTCCAACACACCTGCCTGGAAGTTTATTCACCTTATTCTCCGCCGACGAGTGGGCGCTGCCATTTGAATCTTTTTGGCTTGAGACTTCCAGTCTCATTCACTTCCATTCATTTTTTTGACGTTAAAAACTGCTCATTACGCTGCTTGATGTTGCAATTTGATATTTTCTTATTATATTCTTTTACTTGGTCTGTATAGTCATGCAAACATTTGTTTGTAGAGCAAGTAGTTTGACCGTTTTCTGCCGTTTATTATTCCTAGTCATTTCTCCCATAGGCGACTGAATTGGAAGTTCTAAGACAGTTGCGAAAACAGGCCCACTTCCGCATTTTAGAATAAGGTAAATAGTATACTTAGAAAGATCTTGATTAGATGGTTCAGGTGTGTTTAATTGGGGCTGGATCTAAAATATGCAGGACACCGGCCCTCCAGGACCGAGCTTGGACACCACTGCCTTAAAGCAAATGGTGATTCCTTCAGTTCAAAATAACTTTACTCACTTACAATTATGAAATATAGTGATCTACAAAGTACAATATTTGTTTTTTAATTGTGGTGAAGTAAAAGCATTCTCAAACACAAATTCTGTAGCCAAGCAAAAACACTGAGTTACTGTTTTCTCCCTACAGCGCGATGGCTCCGTCACTCTCACAGGCCTACAGGAGGCGCTGGTGGATGGCAGTCACCTCCATCATAGAAAACCTGCTCTTCTCTGCTGTATTGTTGGGATGGGGTTCACTACTAATCATGCTGAAGAACGAGGGCTTCTACTCACACCTCTGTACAGGTACGTGATGTGAACATGCTTATTCATGACGTTTTTTTCAGCACTTTTACAATATTAATTGTGTCAAAGCAGCTTAACGTAGATGTGGAAAAGAGAATAAAAATCAGAAGAATATTTCAGATTATGGATCATCCCAGCATATCAGGAAGAATACTGGTGTAGTTCTAGTTAAATTAAAACTGATCCTGTTTAGTTTAAAGTCCTCATGTAATCAAAATGAAGGTTTTTAGTTGTTAGTATTAGTTTGTTAGGCTTAAGGATATCTATCTAAGGTAGAGTGTTTCAAAACAGAGACACAATTCGTTTTAAAAAGATATAATTTAAAGTTTGCAGTTTGTCACAAACAAATGTTGACGTCAATTCATACTTCAGTTTCTCAACAAATCTTCTGACCAATCAAATGCTTTCTAGTAGCTCACATGTCCCGCCCCTTTCAGGACGCTACTGCTATACGCGCTTGAGCTCAACCACTCACTAGCAGAGCTGCGATAAAAACTAAACGCTATTGGCAGTTTTTTTTAAAGGGGTGGAGCTACACTATGTCCCACCCTGTCTCAATGTTTTAGTTCAAATTGCAGCACACATATCATAGGACCATTAATTAATGGATAATATCCTGAAGAACAGTTTTATGAGGCTGCACCATTCAGAGATTTACAATATTTCTCTGTTACTCCTCTGACACTGCTAGAAAATGTCACAGAGGGTCACAGTAACGTGAGTTTGACGGAGCAGACCGTTTGGCTGAGCTGCATTGAGCAAGAGGAGATTCTCAATCTGGGCTTCACCATTGGTTCCTTCATCATCAGCGCAGCCACTCTGCCGCTAGGAGTCTTGATGGACAAGTTCGGTCCTCGTCCAATCAGACTGTTTGGCAGGTGAGAGACATTGGTGTTTAATTTTTAAATGTTGACTAGAAAAAATCAGAGTTGAAAAGTGGCTGAAATATGAAAAGTATAAAGAGTTGGTGTTAAAATCCTTATTTTGATGTCGATGTTAGTATCAGTATTTTACTCTTAAAGGTGCAGTAGGTGATTGCCAAAATGCTACTCGGTGAGCATGTTATCTTTGACTGCAGGGCAGGGACTGTGTTTCAAAACTACACCTCCTGAAATCGCGAACAGTATAGGGAGTCTGTCATTGACTGTCTTGTGTTGTGAATGCGCGGCGCTCATGCAGGTGTGCACGCGCTAATGGCTGATATGCGTGAACAGAGATCTACATTTGCTGACAGACAGTTTGGGCTACTTATCAAAATTATGGTCTGCTTGACAATATTTAATTTGATGAACAGTTTTTTAGTCGTATGCCTTACCCAGAATATAAAAATAAATATAAACATCTTTAGATCATTTACTTTAATCATCACTATTGGACTGTGAAGAGACTTTGAACCAGCACAGCAAAACATGTTTCTGAAGACAATCACTCCCTGCACCTTTAAGCCGGACACATCAAGCTGACGCTTAACAACTAGTGCAGATGAAAACCAAACTTCTGGTGTGCATGTGCAAAACGTAAACAAAGCAGATTTAGTACTATTATCTCAGTATTTGTCAGTCACAGAGGAGGGATTCACTCTTGCGAATATGTCTGATAATCTGATAATCAGTATTGTTTGCAAATATTTGAGAAATGTAACAAAATTACAGCCGGCTTCTTTGTATTCCTTTTCGACTTAAATAGTTTACTTGCTATGCCACTTCCATTTTTGTTGTCATGTGCTGATTTATTCTTAAATTCAATCAAATCGCTCTCTTCGGCCATCGCCCGATATGATTCTGCTTGCTGAATCGGGCCAAGAGCTCCGACTTTAACACTAAACCAAAAACTAGAGAGATGCTGATCAACAACCAGACGAACCCCAATGGCCAACCATTGGCTTTGTGTTTCCCAGCCCAAAGGATATCATAAGATATTCTCTAAAACAGTGATAAAACTCACATTTAGAAGATATAAACATCTAAACTTACAGTTTGACACATCTGACATGTCCCGCCTCCTCGCTATTGATACATGCGCTTGAACTCAACTACTCTCATTGTCAGAGCCTTGATGAAAATTAAATGCAAACTGGCAGTTGGGGGAGGGGGTATTTTCCCGCCCTGTCTTTATTTTTCAGTTCAAATTACAGTTCAAATCAATGGTCACTTTCATTAACTGGTTGTTTTTCTTATTCTAACAGCTCATGTTTTGCGCTCTCTATGGTTTTGATTGCTGTAGCATCTTATAATCCAAAAGGTCAGTACTAATGTCTTATGTTTTAATTGTTTAATCATTAAAACGAGGTGCAATACAGAGTTCTTTTATATGCTTGTATCCTGAAAAAATATATATAATTGAGGACAAAAATATTAGCCCTCCTGTAAAATTTCAATTGTTTTTTAATTATTTCCCAAGTGCAGTTTAAAAGAGAGAAAATTTGGACTGCAGTGTTTTGTTCTGTAGTCAACTGAGGAAAAAATCTTAAGGGACTGATCATATTGACCATAACAGTTTAATATATTCCTGTCAAACTCAAAGAAATAAGACTTTAAAAAAGAAATATAAAAAAAAAAAAAAATATATATATATATATATATATATTCTTGCACTCTGAAAAAAACGAAGATAATATATTTAAAAAACAATTAAAAATTTCACAGGAAATAAAGTTTCTGAGCAAAATAGTGATGACTGTCATACAGTTTTGCTATGATTTACAGAACACGTCATCTTGAATTAAAATGTCACTCAGTGTAACAACAGTTTAACAGTAAGTAATGAACACATTGTTTCCTTTTCTTCACAGTGTTATCAGCTCTCATATTCATTGCTGTCTCTATGAATGGGTTTGGAGGAATCTGTCTAACCTTCACTTCACTAACAGTAAGAATACAGTAAATGTCTACATATTTGCACTGCTGGTATGTTTTGCACTAATGAAAGATACATAAATGAAAAATATTACATTTCTGAAAAGATGCATTAAATGACTCTGAAGAGTGGAGTAATGGCTGCCTCAAGTTCAGCGTAGCATTACAGAAATAAATTCCGCTGTAAAAAATTGCTGTAAAATTTATGGCATTACTCACAATTTTGGATGCCAGTAATACTGTAAAGTTTACAAGTGCATTATAAATTAACAATTACAATTGTGCTGTATCTTTTCAGCTCAATTGGTATTGTTAATTTACAGTGTGCTTGTAAATTTTACAGTATTTCTGGCAATTTTTACGGTATTACTGGCAATTTTTACAAGCACATCGTAGATTAACAATTACAATTACACTAGTTTTTCAGCACAATTGTTATTGTTAATTTACAGTGTGCTTGTAAATTTTACAGTATTACTGGCAATTTTTACAGTATTACTGGCAATTTTTTACAGTATTACTGGCAATTTTTTACAGTATTACTGGCAATTTTTTACAGTATTACTGGCAATTTTTACAGTATTACAGGCAATTTTTACAGTATTACAGTCAATTTTTTACAGTATTACTGGCAATTTTTACAGTATTACAGGCAATTTTTTACAGTATTACTGGCAATTTTTACAAGTGCATCGTAGATTAACAATAACAACTACACTAGTTTTTCAGCACATTTGTTATTGTTAATTTACAGTGTGCTTGTTAATTTTTACAGTATTACTGGCAATTTTTACAGTATTACTGGCAATTTTTACAGTATTTCTGGCAAAATTTACAAGCGCATCGTAGATTAACAGTTACAACTACACTAGTTTTTCAGCACAATTGTTATTGTTAATTTACAGTGTGCTTTTGTAAATTTTACAGTATTACTGGCATTTTTTTAAGTATTTCTGGGAACTTTTACAATATCTCAATATCAATTACAACTACACTGTAGTTTTACTGCATAACGCCTCATTCACACGGGGCGTCAGCATCAACGCTTCCCATTCACTTTGAATGGGTGATGTCAGGCGTTGTCGAACGGCATTGTGGATCCGTTGGCGCTGCTTTAGAGGAAGTTGGGAGTAGCTCAACTTTTCAAGCGCCGACGGAAGCGTCAGCCAATCAGATTGCTGTATACAAATACACCAGCTAGACAGTGGCCTATTGCTGACTGAATTTCATTGGCTGACACTTCTATGACGATTGCTTCAGCCCCAACTTCGTTAAGTAATTGTTAAGTTTACAGTGCAGTTGTACATTTTGGCATCCAAATTTACAGCATTTTTTACAGTGCACTTTTTACATTATATTAAAAAAAAAATCATTAACTAAACATCTAAAAACTTTTGATTGGTAATTATGTGTAAAACGTATATATTATGCTTAAGTCAGTGTGCATGCTTGATGTGCATGTGTTTGCATGTAAAGCACACTTATTCTTCCTAATGAAGTATGAAACAGCACCAAAATGTGTGTTATTCTGCACATGAAAGCTGCATTAGCGTGACTGCTCTTGCATGTCTTTAGCTGATGACTTCAGTGCTGCACATTCAGTGCTTTGGCTTCCTCTCGCTCTGCATTTTGGCATGCCGTTCTCAGCCAATCACAGCACAGATCTGTCTTCACGCCCTCACGAGCCCACCTTCTGCAACATTAACACAACTGTCCTTGCTTTCACTCACATGTCTGTTTCCCTCACGTGTGCGCGTCTATCTTTATTTTTACACTGCCAAAAACAAGATCTAGGATCCACTATATACATATATGCTCTATAAATGTATTATTAGAAATGGACATTTTATACTGGGTTGCAACAGATTTAGAAACATCAAGATTTGTTCATTTTTGTGCACATCAGGCTTCATTAAATATATGATAAACATTGTAATATTGTGAAAATTTTTTAATTATATTATAAAATAACTGAAAATATTAGCAATTCCAGCATTTATGGATGTGACATTTGCAGTAAAAAACTCAAATTCACATAGAAAGTATATGTTTACATTATATTGAAATATCGGTTTATATTTTCCAAAACAACTAACCACAGAGTAATAAGATCAGAAAAATATCAATCTGTCAACATGTTTTGTACTTAAAATGAGGAAAATAAACATGCGTTATGGATGTAACCAAAAAAGTCTGCGAGTTTGCAGTATATAACATAATGTGTAGAAATTCTGTGAATTAAACTACACAACCCCCATAAAAGTATGCTAATCAACAGGATAAGAGTTGGCTTACTATAGAACAAACATGAATTAAATTAATTTAATTTAATATTTTTGCATTTTTTTTTTGCATTTTTTTTCTTGGTTATGGATGTGACATTTGTAACATATAATTTATTCCTATGATTCGAAGCTGAATCATAAGCAACATAACCATTTTTTAAAAGCAAGATCTAGAATCGACCATATATATATATATATATCTGCTTTATAAATGTCTTAATCGAAATAGGCATTTTAATCTGGGTTTCAAAATATTTGAAAACATCAAGATTTGTTAACTTCTTATACACATCAGGAATAAATATATGATAAAGTTTTAGATACACCTGTCCAACTGCTCGTTAATGCAAATTTCTAAGCAGACAATTACATGACAGAAACTCAATGCATTTAGGCGTGTAGACATGATCAAAACGATCTGCTGCAGTTCAAACTGAACATCAGAATGGGGAAGAAAAGTGATTTAGGTGAGTTTGAACGTGGCATGGTTGTTGGTGCCAGACAGGCTGGTCTGAGTATTTCAGAAACTGCTGATATACTGGGATATTCATGCACAACCATCTCTAGGGTTTAAAGAGAATGACCAGAAAAAGATAAGTATCCAGTGAGCGGCAGTTCTGTGGACGCAAATGCCCTATTGATGCCAGAGGTCAGAGGAGAATGGCTAGACTGGTTCCAGCTGTTAGAAAGGCAACAGTAACTCAAATAACCACTCGTTACAACCGAGGTATGCAGAAGAGCATCTCTGAACACACAACACATCCAACCTTGAGGTGAATGGGCTACAGCAGCAGAAGACCACACTGGGTGTCAATTCTGTCAGCTAAGAACAGGAAACTAAGGCTACAATTTGCACAGGCTCACTAAAAATGGACAATAGAAGATTGGAAAAACTTTGCTGGGTCTCGATTTCTGTTGTGATATTCGGACACAACAATGTGAAAGCATGGATCATTTTACCTTGTATCAATGGTTCAAGCCGGTGGTGGTGGTGTAATGGTGTGGGGGATATTTTCTTGCTACACTTAGGCCCATTAGTATCAATTGAGCATCGTGCCAACACCACAGCCTACCTAAGTATTGCTGACCATGTCCATCCCTTTATGAGCACAGTGTACCTGTACATCTTCTGATTACTACTTCTAGCAGGATAATGCGCCATGTCAAAGCGTGAGTCATCTCAGACTGGTTTCTTGAACATGACAATGAGTTCACTTTACTCAAATGGCCTCCACAGTCACTAGATCTCAATCCCATAGAGCCCCTTTTGGATGTGGTGGATTCGCATCATGGATGTGCAGCCGACAAAACTGCAGCATTAGGGCAGATCCGAAGGCAAAAGGGGGTCCAACCCGTGTACTAGTAAGATGTACCTAATAAAGTGGCCTGTGTGTGTGTGTGTGTGTGTGTGTGTGTGTGTGTGTGTGTGTGTGTGTGAGTGTGTGTGTGTGTGTGTGTGTGTGAGTGTGTGTGTGTGTGTGTGTGTGTGTGTATAAAACCTGTAAATGTATTTTAAAATAATTTATTCCTGTGATTTAAGGCTGAATTATAAGCAACATAATTTACCAAAAACAAGTTTAGAATCGATCATATACAGTTGAAGTCAGAATTATTAGCCCCTCTCTTCTTTTTTAAACATTTCCCAAATAGTGTTTAACAGAGCAAGAAAATATTCACAGTATGTCTGATAATATTTTTCAAAATTATTCGCCCCTTTAAGCTATATTTTTTTTTCGATAGTCTACAGAACAAACTATCGGTATACAGTAACTTGCCTAATTACCCTAACCTGCCTAGTTAAACTAATTCACCCAGTTAAGCCTTTAAATACCACTTTAAGCTGTATAGAAGTGTCTTGAAAAATATTATTTACTGTCATCATGGCAAAGATAAAATAAATCAGTTATTAGAAATGAGTTATTAAAACTATTATGTTTAGAAATGTCTTGAAAAAATCTGTTAAACAGAAATTGGGGGAAAAATGAAAAGGGGGCGAATAATTCTGACTTCAACTGTACATGTGCTCGATAAATCTATCATTAGAAATTTGCATTTTATTCTGTATTTTATTTATTCTGAAAAACATTAAGATTTGTTCATTGTTATGCACATCAGGCTTCATTAAGTATATGATAAACACAGTATTATTGTGAAAAATATTGGATTATAAAATAACTGTATATATATTATAAGATGTGATTCAAAGCTCAATAATACACAACATTATTTTGGTTTTCAGTGTCCTTCCAGAAATCATTCAAATATGCTAATTTTCTCATGGAAAACATGTTAAAGTAATATCTCACAATATTTCTGTTTTAATGCATTTGTGATCAAATAAATGCAGCATTGGTGAGCAGAAGAGACTTTTTACAAATATTTCCTTAAAATATAACAATAAAAATAACGTCATTCATGCATGCCAACCCAAATTTTATTTAAAAAGGCTTTTTCCAGCAGCACTTTAAAAAAAAAATGTGACCAGCAATCAGTTTAATGTATCTGTATTTCATTGCATGTTAATAGAAAGCGTTCAAGCATTTTTGTTACCCGTTAACAGTTTGTATCTTACCGGTTTTGTGAAACTACACCATTATTATTTGCCATTATTTACTGTTTTGTCTTAAAAACATGCAAACATTGCTCCAGCGTTTCTCTTTTAGCTTATCAGCCGCGCTGAACTTTCCCACCCTCCTCTTTTTGTTCCAGATTTTTTGGATGTCTGTGATCTTTGGATGTTCTGACTGTCAAATTTCATAGTTCGATGCTGGCACACATACACACACGCCCACACATAAACACACACACACACACAAACACAAATATACACACGCTTGTCCCGAATTGAACTTAGTTAAAGTTGTGTTCAGTTCATTTGAGCTGCGTGTGTAAACTAATTTGACTAAAACTACTACACAATAAACCCCTCTGTTGTTGAATTAGTGTTAGCCGGAGTGCAGTATGTCAGATTTAAGTTCATGTCAGCTTCCCGAAAGTGTTTCAGTTCAATAACATATATTTATGTGCTAAAATAGAAAGTGTTTGTAAGAGCTGGGAAAGAACTTTTTCTCATTGGCAGTCATTTGTCGTGTAGGTTGAGTTTGTTTGTTTCAGTTTGAAGAGGATGATGTGTGTGTGTTGTTGGCACAGGGGGGCAGGAGTATTCATAGCTCATATATCCATAGCTATCATACCTGTGCTGTACCCACACAAATACAATTGCATGCTCAAGAAATTAAATAAATAAATGAATGAATCAATTGACTGCTGATCGATTGATTATGCAGTAAATTTTTGTATAAATATAACAACACGTTGAATTATTGCATTTTTTAAATAATATTAATATAATTAATATATGCTATTATAATATAAACCAAATATAAATATAATAATATAAATAAAATATCTAACTATTTATTGTGGGGCCGTGTTCGTGTGGATTTCCTCCGGGTACTCCGGTCAATCTAAAGTCATGTGCTATTGTCTATAGTGTATGTGTGAATGAGTGTATGAGGGTTTCCCAGTGATGGGTTGCAGCTGGAAGGGCATTTGCAGCGTAAAACATATGCTGGATAAGTTGGCGGTTCATTCCACTGTGGGGACCCTAGATTAATAAAGGGATTAATGAATAAATAAATGAATACTACATTTCCTGATGAAGGGATAAAGGCAGTTTCAAGCCTCAAGCTCCTAATGCTCTCTAGTGGCAGTGGACAGGTATTACAGTTTGAACACATGCTTTATTGTTAGCGTTCATTTGTTCCTCTGTCTTCTTGTATGTTTCTCTCAGTTGCCGAATATGTTTGGAAACGTGCGGTCCACCATTCTTTCGCTCATGATCGGCTCGTATGCCTCCTCCGCGGTCACCTTTCCTGGAGTCAAGGTACAGTCACTGTATAGAAGTGAAGTACTTTACACATGACCATACTCTTCTCCTGCTGTTCAGCATTTGACCCTGAATGTTTTCTACCCATCTGTCTGTCTATCTGTTTGTCTGTCTCTGCCTTTCTGTCTGTCTGTCTTTCTATCTGTCTGTCTGTCTCTCTCTGCCTGTCCATTTGTTGGTGTCTCTATCTGTCTGTCTACCTGTACGTCTACTCTATCTGTCCGTCTCTATTCTTCTGTCTCATTATCTGTCTGTCCATCTGTCTGTCTCTCTTTCTATCTGTCTGTGCGTTTCTTTCTCTCTATATGATAATTTGTTTCTCTATTTGTCTGTCTGATTGTCTCTATATTTCTGTCTGTTCATCTATCTGTCTCTCCGTCTTTCTTGTCTGTCTGCCTGTATATCGATCTGTTGTTTTGTCTGTCTCCACATCATCTGTCTGTCTCTTTCTCTCTCTGTCCTGCAGCTGATCTATGATGTCGGCGTGTCGTTCTCTGTGATCTTCTGGCTTTGGGCCGGGTTTGCCTGCCTCGTCTTCCTCAACTGCTTTCTAAACTGGCCTGGAGAATCTTTTCCTGCTCCAGAGGACATCAGATACATGTCAGTAAAATAAAATGCAAGAATCATAAACGCATACACGGACAACATTCTATCAATTATTATATATATGAGTATATGACGATTCAAAATGGGTATATCACACTCTACAAGTCAAACGTTTTGGATCAGTATTTTACTCAGAAGTTTTTTTTTAAAAACGCCATAAAACAATAATATTGTAAAACATAATTATTATTTTGGGTGACGCAGTGGCACAGTAGGTAGTGTTGTTGCCTTACAGCAAGAAGGTCGCTGGTTCGAGCCTTGGCTGGGTCAGTTGGCGTTTCTGTGTGGAGTTTGCATGTTCTCCTTGCGTTCGCGTGGGGTTCGTCCTGGTGCTCCGGTTTCCCTACAGTCCAAAGACATGTGGTATAGGTGAATTGGGTAGGCTAAATTGTCCATAGTGTATGATTGTGTATGGATGTTTCCCAGAGATAGGTTGTTGCTGGAAGGGGATCCGCTGCCTAAAACATGTGCTGGATAAGTTGGTGGTTCATTCCTCTGCGGTTACTGCAGATTATTAAGGGGACTCAGCCAAAAAGAAAATGAATGAATAAATAATTAATATTTGTTCTCTATTTGAATATATTTAAAAATGTTTTTATTTGTGTGATTCTGCATGGTCATGATCAGTTATTATAGATGCTCACAGTTATTAATTGTTCGTAGTATAATCAATGTAAATAAAAAAAACCTGTTTCAAACAATTTTATCTGACAGACTGGCACAAATATGTAGACATCTTCATTCTCACAACGAGTTTCTGAGTTCTCTCACCCTTCTAAAAGAGTTTGAGACTGGTTATGAAGCACTTCACCTCAGATGTTATTTCTTATTCTTGTTTATCTAGTAGATAACTGACCAATAAAAAATATAATAAAATTAAGATACAACGATGTGCTTTTATTTTCTCTGTCTCATGTGCGGCAATGCCCTTAAATAATGTAGCCTTTGACAGCAAGCATCGGTTTTTGTGATTGAAATAAGAATAAGGGATGATGGGGTGGGGTGGTGCTAGATATGAGCGTACCTTTGAATAAAAATCCTGCAGGCGACACCCCCCCTCTCCCTTCATGATTGTGAAGCACTTTGGGTGTATGGCCATACATGAAAAATGCGCTATATAAATACCCACATTACATTACAATACATTACATTACATGTGTCATAAATCTCCTTAGAGTCAAAAATGTGAAGTATTGAAATATGAAGCATTACTCATAATAATCAGAAATGTTTTGGGCAAAAAAATCAGCATATTAGATTGATTTCAGAGGGATTTGTGACATCTGGAGCAAAACTTAGCTTTGATACACACACACACACACACACACACACACACACACACACACACACACACACACACACACACACACACACACACACACACACACACACACACACACACACACACACACACATAAATAAATAAACAAACAAACAAACAAATAAATAAATAAATAAATAAATAAATAAATAAATAAATAAATAAATAAATAATTCATTCATTCATTCATTCATTCATTCATTCATTTTCTTGTCGGCTTAGTCCCTTTATAAATCCCAGGTCGCCACAGCGGAATGAACCGCCAACCTATCCAGCAAGTTTTTACGCAGCGGATGCCCTTCCAGCCGCAACCCATCTCTGGGAAACATCCACACACACACTCATACACTACGGACAATTTAGCCTACCCAATTCACATGTACCGCATGTCTTTGGATTGTGGGTGAAACCGGAGCACCCGGAGGAAACCCACGCGAAGGCAGGGAAAACATGCAAACTCCACACAGAAACGCCACTGAGCCGTGGTTTGAACCAGCGACCCAGCGACCTTCTTGCTGTGAGGGGACAGCACTACCTACTGCGCCACTTCCTCGCCCTTCTATAAATTATGTATAATGTAAATAAATAAATTACATTATGAAATATTAATATAGACCATTTCATTGTGGTCATGTCATTGGCCCATGAACATTTCCGGCTTGTTATTAAACTATTTAATAACTGTAACAAGAGGTGATGCAATCATAACTTAATGCTAAAACAGCTCTCATCACATTATTGGATTCTCGAAAGCTATGGAAATTAAAAATGTAAAACAAGAACTACATTGGGACCATTGTTTTTGCTTACATGCTTCAAAATGGTCTATAGGGAAAGAAATGAAATCCTCTCACAATACTGCAGTTAATTTAAAAAGCAAGTCAGTTTTGGTGAGAAACATTTGACAGGCTGTGCATTATAACTCAATATATACACCAACATTCTAAAACCCTCTTGTGGTTTATTTTACAGTGCTATGGGGAAGTTAAGAGGGAAAGAGCTGGACCAAAAGATGACCGACACTAATGTGGTACTGAGAGAGCAAGAGGAGCCCAAAAAACTGCCTTCCAGTAATGAAGCTCCCAGTGATGGAGCAGAAGCACAGAGCAAGTCTCTTAAACACACTGTTGACAAACATTTAATCATCTGTAATGATCACCAATAAAATAATCCTGACGTTATCTCTGTTTGTGGGACGCAGGCTCTCCTCCCTTTCGTCGATCCGTCTGCTCTCCTATCTTCCTGTGGAGCATCATCACCATGGCGATGACTCAGCTCCGGATCATTTTTTTCATGGGTGCCATGAACAAGATGTTGGAGTTCCTGGTGACCCACGGGGACCCGAACCGTGAGCATCAGCCAAACGTTTTAATAGTAGATTTTTAAAGGGGTCATATTGTGCTATTTACACTTTCAGCTTTAATGCAGAACATAGCGGTTTGAGCTTGTAAAAGAGTGCCAGTCATTGAGTATGTTTATATAGACACCAATAATCAGACTTTAATACAATTAAAACAATACTCTGGTTAGGAGTCGACCATGTAAACAGCTATTTTTGATTATTTATTTTAATTCAATTAAAGACATAATCGAACTAAACGGAAATGGAATTAAAACGTGGAGTATGCCGCTTTTGTTGCCATTATTGAAGTAACCGTGCTATCAAACTATTACCGTCGTGTAGGACTTTTCACCACGTTTTTTTAACAGGATAAACTATACACAAACGGCTGTTTGACACTATTCTCTGCACCTACCGAGTCAGTGAAGGACCACAGACACTTGCATCACGAAATGCAGAGGTTTTCTTTCCCATAGGGCTTGCAATATCAAATACCATTAAAATTATAGCTGCAAGCAGCGGTGAAAGGGACCTCGCACCTGGGCTCTTCGCCGCCCGGTGGCCTTAGGATGACAGAGAACAGCGGACAATAATAATTTAAGCTCAATAAATATAAAAAACCTGACCGTGTTAGCTATTTGTGTCATTCATACTTCTGTCAGCAGGTGGCGCTATGACTGTGAATGAATACTTACATGTAGATGTCTTCAGTATAGTACTGTAATCTAAGATGTAGAATCTAGGGCAGACTGGACATAGTAAGCCTGAGTTAAACCAGCTTGCTTTTCCATGGCGAACCACTGAGGTTTGTCAGGCCGCCACAGATACGCCTTTCGACGAATATCATCTTCACTATATATCATCACTAGAACTTTCAGATAACACCACCCAATTTTGGGGATGATACAATCCAATTTGTTGGAGGAGTTTGGTACACTGTAAAACATGTTATTTCGTGTTGCCAATAAGTGGCGCTATGACCAACAAGATATTGGCCTTGTAGATGTCAGAGGAGAATGACCAGACCGGTTCGAGCTGATAGAAAGGCAACAGTAACTCAAATAACCACTCTTTACAACCGAGGTATGCAGAAGAGCATCTCTGAACACATAACATGTTAAACCTTGAGGCAGATTGGCTACAGCAGCAGAAGACCACACTGGGTGCCTCTCCTGTCAGCTAAGAACAGCAAACTAAGGCTACAATTAATAATAATAATACATTTTATTTAAAGATGCCTTTCTAGCTACTCAAGGACACTGTACAATCAACAAGAGCAATAAAACAAAGAGAAATAATAAAATATACACAGCAATAGAGCAGATAAAATTAAGTATTAAAAGCCATGTTAAATAAGTGGGTTTTAAGTCTTGATTGGAATAGTGTGAGGGAGTCAATGTTTCTGATGGCAGGTGGTAGTGAGTTCCAGAGCCGCGGAGCAGAGCAGCTAAATGCTCTCTTGCCCATAGTTGAAAGACGAGAAGAGGGAACAGACAAGTGGAGGGAGGAAGAAGATCGCAAGGTGCAAATATGGAGGGGCGAGATTGTGGATGGCTTTGAATGCTAACATCAAGATTTTAAAGTCAATTCGAAAATGAACAGGTAACCAATGAAGCTTCTGCAGGACAGGGGTGATGTGATGAGAAGAAGGGGTTCAGGTGATGATACGGGCAGCTGAGTTCTGGACCAACTGAAGCTTACGGAGCTCGAGATCTATGAGTGAGACCAAAGAGAAGAGCGTTGCATTAATCTAGATTTGACAAGGCTATGAACGAGAACAGCAGTGGCATGAGGGGTAAGATAAGGGCGGAGACGGTTAATGTTGCGTAGGTGGAAGCAAGCAGACCGGGTGATGTTATTGATGTGAGAATCAAAAGATAGGGTGCTGTCAAGGATGACACCCAGACTCTTAACCTGTTTAGAGGAATAAATGGAACAGTCGTCAATTGAAAGAGCAAAGCTGTCAGTTTTGGAGAGTGGTTGGTTTGGTTGGTTTGTGGTTGGATTTGGTACCAACAAGCAAAACCTCAGTTTTTGAACTATTTAATTTGAGGAAGTTAAGAGAGAGCCAGGACTTGATTTCTGCTAAGCATACTTTAAGGTATGTAGGTGGAAAACAAGAAAAGGGTTTGCCAGAGAGATAGAGCTGGGTGTCCTCCGCATAGCAGTGAATCTGTATGTTATATTTACAGAGAATATTACCGAGTGGAAGGAGATAGATGATAAAAAGCAGTGGCCCAGGGACTGAGCCCTGGGGAACACCCGAAGAAACTGTAAAATGGGAATTGGGAAGTGAATGATTTGAGTTGAATGAAGTGAGTGCAGCCAAAGAGATAAGATTTAAACCAGTCAAGTGGGGTATTGGTGATGCCAAGTTTGGATAGTTTAGTGATGAGGGTGCTGTGACAAATAGTTTTTGTCTGTTGTCACAGGCTCACCAAAATTGGACAATAGAAGATTGGAAAAACATTGCTCGGTCTGATGAGTCTTGAGCTCTGCTGCGACATTCAGATGGTAGGGTCAGAATTTGGCATCAACAACATATTAACAGCCTTTTATTAACGGTTCAGGCTGGTGGTGATGGTGTAATGGTGTAGGGGATATTTTTTGTTACACTTTGGGCCCATTAGTACCAATTGAGCATTGTGTCAACGCCACAGTGTGTGCCCATCTTTTGATGCCTACTTTGAGCAGGATAATGCACCATGTCATAAAGCATGAATCATCTCAGACTGGTTTCTTGAATATTACAATGAGTATTCTTAGTCAAATGGCCACCAGAACTCAATCCAATAGAGCACATTTAGGATGTGGTGGAACGGGAGATTGGCATCATGGATGTGCAGTCCACAAATCTGCTGCAACTGTGTGATGCTATCATGTCAATATGGACTAAAATTTCAGAGGAATATTTCCAGTGCCATGTTGAATCCATGCCATGAAGGATTTAGGCAGTTCTGAAGGCAAAAGGGGGTCCAACCCGGCACTAGGAGGTCCAACCTGGTACATATTATACCTAATATGTACTAGGATGTACCTAATAAAGTGGCCGGTGATGGTAGTTATCCATTGAACATCAGTGAATATTTACTTATTTTTCTTTCATTGTATGATTAAGATTAAATGACAGTATCTGGGTTTCCATCACCCTGTGTGAATCGCATCCTGCAGTATCGCATTCAAATAAAGATCCATTAATTCTCATTGTTAAATTAAAGCTCACTTGTGGTTTTGGTCTTTGTAATAACGTTCGTTGTTGTTGAGGGAAGAGGAAGACAGGGTCGGCGATTCAGGTAAGCCAATACTTTTATTATTTTTAAATGTCACCACACATGTAGCAGTGTGTGTTTGTGTGTGTGCTCTCTCCTCTCCCGACTGCTCCTCCCGTTCTCCTTAAGAAGGGAGTCTCTCCGGCCCAATCACTAGAAAGACAGGTGTTATTTATCATTTCTGATTGACCCGCTGATTAGCCGGCGGGCTCCTAGCATGCTCTCCCCCCTTATTGGGTGTTTGATCACGCTTACCTCTCCACAATCTTATATTTGCCAATACATAAATGTGTTTGCCGATTAAACGTACTGTAGCAAACATTTCAGACACAACCAATCCACAGTCTCGATTATGCTTGTCTTGTTTACTCTTAGTTACTAGGTTACCAATACTACAGTCAGCCACTTGATAAACACTCACCGAATTCACATGTGGGACTTTTTGTTTTTGTTTTGCTCATTAAGTTAATATAAGGCATAACTGACTGTATTATCATTTAAAACTCTATCGTTTATATATAAAGAGGCAGGGAAACGCATATCAAAGCAACTCATATTTGCATAAAGCATAATATGACCCTGTAAATGAAATGAACAATAAAAAAGTATAAATGCTGTGATAAATGTGCTCAGTTATAGATGAATATAATTAGAGCAATCTTACTGCGGTATGCTACAGTATGTTTCTGCTGAAGTGTGTGTTTGTGGGTAGTACACATGTATTTTAAGCTGACTTAATACAGCATTGTTTTTATTATTGTATCAATTTGTTTTTTTAGCCTCTGAGGTGTTGGTGAAGGAGTCAGAAGAGCAAGGTAAGAAAAAACACGCTATTTTCAAATTTCATCAATTTTGGTTTTAATTTATGATGAAAGCTCAAGATTTGTCAGATATTTACTTATGGCTCAAACCAGCACAAACTACTATTTACTGCTTAAAACACTGGATAAATCTTTTAGTACACTCAGTAGACAATTATTGTTTCCCTAGTCGTAACAACGTGACACGGAACCACAACATGCTATTTTTTCCATGTTAAAAGGAGTTTCATGATCTGCGATGACGAGATGTGAAATTTCTATTTTACAAATGCTTTCTATTTCTACGATGCAACTATGACAAAGATAACCTCAGGTACCGGTTATGTGCGTTATTCAGTGTTAAATGCAGCAGCAGATAGTTTACCTCAGATCTTGAAAATAAAATAACTAGCAGACGGTTTGAAAATGAAAGTCAGAACTGTGATTCAGTGCAGACCAACAACATCAGTCATCCACTAGCCTGTTAATAATGTTGAAGAGGTTTAATATGCATTAATCACATTAAAAGCTTTTCCCATTTCATTGGGAGTGCAGTGGCTGGTGGTATTAAAATGTTTCCGTCATGTTGCATCGCTTTTAAAGACTGTGTTGCTGATTTTAGAAATAGGTGCAGTAGGTGATTGTCTTCAGAAACATTTGTTGTTGTGCTGGTTGAAAGTCTCTTCACATTTCAATAGTAATGATTAAAGTAAATTATCTAAATGTGTTTATACGTATTTTTATATAAATTTATAAAAAATGTTCATCAATTAAATAGAGTCAGGCCGACATCTCTCATAATTCCGATAAGTAGCTCAAACTGTCTGTCAGCAAATGTAGATTTGAACAACTGCGCAGCCGTTTGTACGCAACTCCACCGACCGCTGTTTGTGCAGCGTGTTCACGAGAGAGAGAGCACGAGCGCGCGATCAGCAAAAACATGCTGAATCAAAACTTTTTAAAAAACTCAATATTGGAGTTAAGTTTGCACGCTGGAGAAAGGATGACACAATGGCTGAAGGATTTCTCTTAGACAGTTAATGTTTTGTTTTAAATCTATGTTAGCTTCACGCAAAGCTGATGTAACGTTGGATGTTGTTTCAAATGGGTTATATCTTCGCAGAAGTGTTGTTCAGCCACTAAAACCTTCTGGTGAAAGATTGATAAGACTATTTTCAGTTTCATAATGAACCTTTTGCATCAATGATGTAGATTTTAATTAGTTTAACAACACAACACAAGTAAATACCGCTATTCGGCCTAGTCTCTCCCTATATTGTTTACCATGCAACTCTTAATGTTAGCTCTAATAGCATGTCAGTTTGGCTTCGTAATGAGTGTAATTCCTGCACGTCGCCAGACACGCACTAGTCGCTTTTAACACTTGAGAGAGAGTTCTTTTGCTGTCATCTTTAATGTGTGCGTGCTCCTGTTTCAGGAGGCGGGGCTCTGGACAGCAGGGAGGGACTGTGATTCAGAGATTTATGCTAAGCTGTTAGCATTGTGGAAGATCACTTACTGCACCTTTAACTATATGTTGTTAACTATATATAAGCAATATGTAAGTTTTTTACTCTTCTAAAACAGGAAAATACCATATGTTTGCAGATATTTAAGAAAAGTGATACGTGAGCGTACTTGTTTATCTGAAAAAGTCATTTATTCTCCTTAAAAATGTGTGTTCTGTGTTGTAATGTCTGTTTGTTTTGGTCTCTGTCCACTGCCAGTTTACCAAATTACATTTCAACATCCCAGGTTGCCGAAGTGGAAAACAAAGCATATTTTATTTCAGCTGCCTCAATGTAGAGGGGGGAAAAAACCCTCTCCAATATTTTGAATTTTGACTGCAATACCTAGTTTAACCACTAGGTTTATTCCATACATATTGCACCTTTACACATTAAAGAGCTTGTTTGTGTTGCAGTGAGCCTGTACTCGTCCATCTTCGGCACTCTTCAGCTGCTCTGCCTGCTGTCATGTCCTCTGATCGGATACATCATGGACTGGAGGATGAAGGAGTGTGAAGACGACGTCAGTTCAGCAGATGGAGAAAAGAGGTGAAGGGGTTGAAGGAGAGGAGAAGGGAGAGAAATGTGGAATGGCTTTGATTTTGTCAGTAACCTCGTTGTTTTCTTCAGTCCATCTAGGCCTCCAAAGAGGGACAGAAAGATCCAGAAACTGACCAACGCCATCAGAGCTTTCATCTTTACTAACATGCTGCTAGTCACCTTCGGCATCCTTTCCCTCATAGACAATCTACCCATACAGGTTAGAGGTCTATTCATCCTTATGTGAACAAAATTGGGTAACACTTTATTTCAAGCTGTTGTTAAATGTGTATCATGTTCTTACTGTAGTAATTACAATCGTTTAATAGATAATTGCATGAAACTAAGGCTCTGTTTACACTATTATGTTTAAGTTTTAAAACGCATAAGTTTTGCTAAGTTATGCCATCCGTCCACATTACCCCGGAGTTTTTGAGCTCCGAAAACAGCTTTTTGAAATTGCTGGAGAGGCTGTTTTCATTTTAAAACGCTGCTGCTCCGGCTCAGTGTGGGTGGGGGAAAACGAAGACATCTGATTGGGGCTTTTCCTCAATATTAATTAGCCTACACACAGTTCAGTCTTGCATCCTCTCCTTGTAAGTTCAGACTTCGCAAGTTTGATAAGGAAAACAAACTCCCGAGGACACGTCAGGTAAATCTTCACAGGGAACAGTGTACTCTATAACCTCAATCACATCACCCTGGTTACTAGGAATGCAACAATACAGTTAGCCTACTGTTTAATAAATACCTCTGGTTTTTAACACGGTTTTCGGTTTGGTTCGGTTTTGAGCTGCACGATTGTGGCTAAAATGAGAATCACGTTTTTTTTTTTGCTTAAAATAAAGATCACGATTTTCTCACGATTCTGTAAATTAAAGGTATGGTAAAAACAAACATATGGCACAACCTCGATAATAATAATATGTGTAGGTCTACTGTTTTTTATAAATAATTCTATTCTACTTATAATAATTATGATGTTGAATTGTTATGTTTGAGATATATGCTTGCAATCTGTCATATTAGACAATTTTATTCACTGGTAAAATCAGACATTTGCCATTATCAGATTATATTCAACAATATAGAGTACTTATACTAACATTGTAAACATTTATGTTCATGCACAACTGTGGGTTCGCTATGAAAGAAAAAACATATCAAATGCTTGTCGTAATCATAACTCTAAAATGCGATATGATCATTTAAATGAAGTGCACACTTTCGGTTTCATTCTGACTTCATTCTGAAGTGCTTGTTCATACTTCGCGTGCGGCTCCCAAATGATCACTGTGCCACAAACTGAATATTATTTGCAACTGTATTACTTGTTACTTGCAACATATGCAGGTTCTGTTCACTAAAGTAGACGCACGCGCGTCTATCATCATTATATTAAGACAAAAATGACATTTTTGGTGAATTATACCTTTTAAATACAGTGTGTGACTCATTTAACATTATTTGGAAGTGTCAATGTCATGGAGCAAGGTGTGTGAAACAATGAAAAGACTCGTGCAGCCGCCTTTTCTTCTCTCCTGAACTTGAAAATATGATTGACAGAATCGCACAAATGCTGGATTAAGATCGTCTAGGGGGTCGAATCAGGGTCGCGATCTTTTAACGATTAATTGTGCAGCTCTAGTTCGGTTCGGTTCTGATGGCTTTACACATATGTGTTTTTGTTTTGTTATTCTATATGCTTAGGCAATAGGAACAGTAAGAGGTTAAGGAGAGAAAAAAAAAACGATTTATTGCAATACTCCTTTATTGTACTTTAAAGCCAACAAAAGTACACTAGTTCCTATTGTGTAAAAAAACAACACTGAAATCTCACAGCTGCTGGTAGCCCATGTACTGTACAAACTGGGGAACACATAAGCCGCTTTTCCACTATCGTGCTGAATCGTTCTTTAAACAGAACTGTTCCATTCCGTGCCAAACCGGGCCAGACAGCACGGATACGGTTTCATTTTCCACTGTCGTGCTGCGACAAAGCTCTTTAAAACATTACTCAAAACGCATCCAGGGGTGATAGCGTTCCGGCACCACGCCGGATTTCCGGCGTACTGTGGCTGCGGGGAAAAAAAAAATCAGGTTCACGGATATTGATCTGTCATTTCTCTAGATTCACAGAATTCACTCACTGCTGAAAGCGGCGGATTGGTTTTTATTAAGTGCCATTTTGTGTGCTCGTGAATCATCTTTTGAGTGTAGACGCCATGTAAATAAAAGATTGTGTAATTTAGAGAGCTTTATAAATTTTAACGGATCTTTGTGAGATCTCTATGAACTAAGATTAGTGACGCTTTTTAGTGATAATAAGAGGAGCGTGCTGTGCACTTTCCAGGCTATAATCCATTCAGAATTTGTATGAAACTTTCGTTTTCGGCACATATACGCTGATATGTTTTGGGAATGACATCTGCATATTTACGCTGGGTTTATTCTCGAAATAACGGTGAAGCAATAGACGGGACAAAAATATATTTCCCCCTTCTCCTTAAACAACTTAGTGTTTCAGCTATAAAATAGTTCAGTTTTGTATGTAGCCTAATGGCAAAGTGTTTATATTTAGTTTCGTTTTTTATTCAGCTTATTTAAAACGTTTGGAGCATTTTTTATTCGTTAAAAATAAGTTTTTTTTTTGTTTTTTTTAACGAACAGCGCCCAGCGGAAGACCATCATTGTCTGTTTGATCAGTTTGCCTTCTCAGATCATCACGACTTGCCTAAAATAAAAGATATAAAACAGTTCAAGTATAAAACAATGGTGGCTTAAACGTTAAAGAATGTGTGCTATTAGGCGCATAGTTTGCTTATAAAAAGCTTGCAGGACATCGAGGCGCCAGAGCAATCACTTGCATTTTTTCAGTGGGAGCAATTTAAAGTTATCCGTCATTTTTGCTCACAAAGTACGAGTAATACATCAAAAAACGTTACAGCGTTTTTATAAAATAAAGAAAACCAAAATTTTGCGCTTTCTGTCGTCTGGTTTTTGAACAGGAGCGCTTAACAAAATGAAGCAAAATGTATATGCCTCACAGACATAATAAATATATTTATAGAAAGCTTTAAATTATTACTTAACGAAATAAAACAAATCGAAAAACAAAAAAACTCCTTCATGTAATCCGTAAAGATGAATTTCACTGTAAAGGCGAGTCCAAAAGAAGGTTGCCAGTCAGGATCTGCGACACTTACTCAGAATAAGTTTATTAATAAATAATTAAGATATGTCCTTACTCTTTCCTCGACACATTCATTGTTATTTGTTTTTGCCGGTGCTTGGGGCGAGTTTTAGCTTATTGTGTGCGCTTGAACGCGGATTCACAGTAGCAGTTTTAACATGGAGCGACACGACATCTGACGTACAGATGACACTGGCACATGCCACTGAGTGTAGTGACACTTCCGGTGGCACGTCCAGTTTTCCACTGTCATGTGTCACTCGCTAGTGGCATGTGTAGTGACCTGTGTCACTCAGAGTGTCGCGCTGCATGTCACTGCAGTGACATCGACACCTGGCGAAGCTTATGACATTAATTAACACGAGCAAAACCATATTTAATCATTACGCGACTTTTAACCTAATTTATCGCGTCGCAAGTTAGTTTATTTGCTGAGCTACTCCACGATGTTTTAATTTAAACGCATTTATTTTATGTATTCGTAGTCATACTTCCATACGTAATATAGTCATTTGACAGTACATGTCAGTCAAATTTATTGTGGCATGCTTATGTATGGGAGGGGTTACACTTATCTGTTGTACTGTATATTATTGCATCCTGGCAGTTCCTTTGTTCCCTACAATATGGACTTCTCTATGTTTTTAATTCATTCATTTATTTTATTATTTACTTTTTTCATTTTAAGGTATTTTAAATAATATCCTTTAAAAAGTTATAATAAAATGCATGTTGAAAACTCATAACATATATGCAAGATAACAGGTGTCATTTGCCTAATGATTTTTAAATATTAAAGCAAAGAGACTTATAAGATTAATGTGCTTATAACGTGCTTATACTGACACCTACTGGCACATGTCACAAGATCACTGACACTGGCATGTGTCACTGACATTACTGGCATACATAAGTATGCCACAATAAATTTGACTGACATGTACTGTCAAATGACTATATTACGTACGGAAGTATGACTACGAATACATAAAATAAATGCGTTTAAATTAAAACATCAGCAAGGAAAAAAAGTTCAGGCTCAGGAATTTTTTCCACTATCAGCCCTGCGCATCAGTAGTTGCCTTGGTAACGCAATGTAAACGGCTCCCTTTGTTCAATTAAAGTTAAATAAGAGCCGAAACTATTTATTTATTTTTTTCATAAAAGCAAAAGCAACCATGTGACTAAACACTGTTATGCCGCTCTATCATATAGGGGTGCTAAATATAGGTACATGTGCACCCTTATTTATTCATATGTTACGCAGCTCTGGCTAAATTTTATTTGGAGGGAAAATTACCAAAATGTAACGTGATGATTAAAAATAATTGGAGGGGAAATAAATAATATTTGAAATCTCTGAACATAACAGAAAAATAAACAATGATAAACAACAATAATAATGCATTTGCATTATAGTGGCAGAAATATAATTTGTCAAAGGTGAGCGGGCACTTTCACTAATAAAAACACAGCACTTAAATTATTTCATTTTAAACAATTATTTAAATTACACTGCGTTTTTATATAAAAAGTTGATAATGATATAAAATATACTACATTTTGATGGTAAAATGAAACCAATTAAGCGATGGCTGTTATTTGTTTTACTATTCAAACATTAAATAACGAATGCAGCAAGTGAAAAAAAACGAATATGAAAATATATCGCAGGATTTAAAGCATATAAAGCACTATTATATTTAGCAAAATGATGCTCTATTATCTTTTTATTTTGATCATTTTATTTTTATTATTATAATTATTTTTGTGTTCATAATTAACTAACAAGCTGTAGGCGAATTATTGCTAGACGTTTTAGAAAATATTTGCGTAGCTATATTAAAGATCACCACAAAAAAAAAAAAAAACACAGAAACATGTTACATGCCTCATAAATATCATATAACTTATGTATAATTGAATCATATAATTGCCTATAGCTGAAATGATAAAAATTGCTCATTTTATTTTTATAAAACATTTGTGAAAACGTATTGATATTTTTTAAGTAAAAGCAATACTGACATTTAAGAATCCATATTTATTTAATTCATTCATTCTTTTGACTTGTTTATTAGTGCATATGCTATAATATAAATCATACAACAGTACCTTGGACAGTTACAGTGCCGCTCCTTAAAGCTTTCAAGCAAAGTCTTTTGGACGGCCGACATTACAACACGAACATGCCGTCCTTCAGGTGGTCTCGCCGGTATTAACAAGCTGTCCTGGCTTTGAAATAAAAAGTGCAATTATTTCCTCGTTCTTAAAAGAGTCTGCAAGTTCGTGTTCCATGGATATAGTGATGTTGTTGTGGAATTTGGACATTGACGATGCAAAGCGTGACTTTATTCGCTTTATTTGATGCGCAGCAGGAAAAAAAAGTCAGCAGCGCAAGTCGCTTGCATGTCTCTCCCGGATCAGAGCGAGTTTTGTGCTGTGGAATACAGCGCTGCGTGCAATAAACTCACATTCAGGCAAGCGATGTAGGTCTGTATTCAAGTCAATAAAATAATAACTTTAATGAATAAAATATCTTTGTAAGAATGTGATGAGTTATTCACTTCTCTTCCAGAGACTGCTCTATGGTTTTAAAATCCTTTTTAAACTGTATAGTTTAGACCTGGATCATTATTTTATATTAAATGTACTGTAGTTTATTGAGGATGTCTGATGACTAGCGCGCTTCTGCTGAGCCAGCTGTGGTAGCTTAGCAACCGAGTCGCGACGTCAACACACAGAATCTGTCAGCACAGTTCAGCACGGTTGTCTAACCGTGCCGAAAATTCCGGGCCAAGAACGGTTTGTAATCGTGCCGCGCCGTTCCAGGCTCAGTGGAGAAACAACCGTAACCGTACCGAAGTGTTCTTAGAACGGTTTGGCACGATAGTGGAAAAGCAGCTATACATTCCTACATTTTGAAAGTAAACGAAGTTAATAAACATAAATCGACAATTTCAAATAAACATATCTGTACTTCAGTAAACATAAATAAACTACCTTTATCTATTATTAATTATTAATTATCTCGGTGCTGGAAAAAAGTGCCAAACGGTAGTCTGTAAGTTAAGGCAGATCGAGTGCTTTTATAAGATGACAAAAGCCTGCATCTTCATTCACTAAAAATGGCTGCAAATCTTTAGCGATGAACACCCACCTCCACTGCCTTTGTTATTTTTATGTGTCTCTCCGAATCAGTTGGGTATGTTCACTGGAAAAATCAGCGAGGGATTGTTTTTTGGTGGACTTTATTACCTTCTCTGCTATGCTGCCTTCAGACAATGATATTGCTAGGTGATGGCTCCGCAGATGTGCAATCATGTTGGAAGTGTTTTCGTTTGAGTACGCTTTATGTGTAAAACAATGCTTGCGCGTTTTTTCTTTTATTGTCATTATACTCAACAACAAAACTGAAATGTGCTCACACTATCAACTTTCAAATCTGCAGTGAGAAATCCAGCGCTTCCTCGTACTGTTGACTTCACCGCCACTTGCCATATTAAAGTGTGGAATAATGGTTAAGCACACCCTAACTTTAGAGCATGGTGATTGATTATCTACTTGGTGCCAGTTTCCTCATCTCACCTCGTAGACTTACAGGCACACACAGTCTATTTGGAAAAATATAAAATGCACACAAATTATTTAAACGTAAAACGAAAAAAAAAAGAAATTCACAAGCAAGTATTGAACCGTGGATGTCTTACGGACTGGTTCAATATTATATTGAGAATCATGGCATCCCTACTGGCTACGTTGTTTCACCATCTTAACAATAAAATGAAAACAAGATATAAGGAACTATTTCATTTTGATATTAGCAACTTAACAGACGCCAAACATGTTGAGGCTTCGTTTAGCTGCATATTTATATATTTTCATAACAAAACGGAGCCCAGAACATTACTGCCTCCTTTCATTTTCAGTAAAAATACGAAACATACCCTGTCTCTTTTGCTGAATATCAGTTTTAATAATCAATAATCATAAAAAAGTTAATACATTATAGGAAATAAATGTAAGCAATCAGCCAAATGTGCAGAATCAGTGTATGTGATTATATTAATTAATATATTATCTTTGCCCTCAACCAAAACACGTCACCTGAGAACTAGTAATAGATTCAAAAGACCAAAGTCAGGCAATATGTCATTACATATAGACAAGATGAATTCAATATCTTGTTTAACAAATATAGTGAGATTAGATCCAGCGGAAGATCCTTGATAAACCGTCTGACGTGCACAGCTCTCATCGCTGCAGTGCATGCTAGAATGTATGTGTGGTCACGTGATGTGCGTTTTCAGAGGTATAGTGTGGACGGAGAGTTGTTTAGAAACGCTGGGTCAAACGCTAGTGTGGATGCTGATCGTTTTCATTGTAAAACGCAGTTTTAAGACTAAAACGTATTAGTGTAAACGTGGCCTAAGCCTAGACCTAACCCTCATCCCAACCCTAACCTTATTAAGTATATGTACACTTATTAATATCACTATTAAGTTAATAGTTCGACTGTAACAAGAACACCTTAAAATAAAGTATGACTCAAAATTGTAACCAAATGTATATATTTTATGTAATTCCAGCTGCAGAGTGTAATTCAAATGATCAAATGTTAAATAATCACAAAACACGTAACGCTCACACTTAAAGTATGTAAATAAGAACTCATGTTTTAATACTTTAATTGAAATATTTGGTGATTTGACTTTGACTAGTTAGTATTTTTTGATCTATCAAAACGTTCTGATAATTCATTTAATTAAATATGTCAAAGTTTTGCACTGATACTTAAATAGCATCATGCCATTTGATCAACTTTTATCAATTATTTTAAGAACTTAGCTATATTATTTTTTCTTTTCATCAACCAATTGTATTTGTATTGCTTAAGGTGATATTAACCAAACTTCTTATCCTGAGTGTGATATGCTCTGCATAATAATGAAGCACTTTTGCAGAAGTAGATGAAGCTGCTAGAAAATGCAAAGGCCTGATTGTCTAAAATTAACTTGAGCTCTACAGCTAAACTTCCCGTGAGCAGAGATGGGTTAAAAAATGAACACAGCATGTTTGCAAGTTAATATTTTAGCAAAATGAGAAAAAGAGGACGTATGTATGGGTGCGGCCAACAAAGGACTTGAGAATGATTGACAAGTGACGAATTGCGCTAAACTTCACCTGTTAATATCAGCGGCGTATAAAAGCAAGAGTCAGGAAATGAAAGTTGCGCAGCCCCTGAATTTAATTCTTGCATTGCATTGGGGACTACCAGAGTTGTGTGAATCGAATTATTCATTTGTGTCCAAGAAATTACTAATATTTTTGACATTGAAGAAAACTCTCTCCTGACCATTTTTATTTAACACGCATGAAATTGGCTAGACATTCCAACACTATGACTTCTTGCCCCAGCTATGTTGTTGCAGTAACATTATAATAATAATAAACCTTAATAAATAATAAATCTTCATTAGTTTCTCAATGTTATTATGCTGCAACTTAACTATAAGAATGGTTATTTATCTATTATATGCACTTCTCTTTTTCTCTTTCTCTCTCAGGTGGTGTCGTTCATTCTTCACACTGCAGTTCGGGGTTTCATTCACTCCTGCTGCGGTGGCCTTTATGCTGCTGTGTGAGTTTTACTCAGCAAAATAAACCTGACTTTCATTATATCATTTCAATTCCCAGACAAAAAGCATTGAGGAATAAAGCATACATGAAGAAAGTTAATATACTCAAGCTCCACTAACTTTTGAAAAAGGTGTTAGTAATTGAATATCTGTCCTATCTGCTGATTGTTTTCCATCGTCAAACTGGTTATTTTTGTATTTAGGTACCCAACCAATCACTTTGGCACTCTTACGGGTCTGCAGTCCATGATCAGTGCTGTGTTTGCCCTCCTCCAACAACCACTTTTCATGTTGATGTTGGGACCATTAAAGGGAGATCCTTACTGGGTGAGTCAAGTCATTTTTATTTCTATAGCGCTTAATTCTATGGTCTGTTGAATGTTTTGATTCTAATTGGCTGGAATGTGCGCAGTAGTTCATCTCATGATTTGTTAAAATTCTTAATTCTGATTGGCTGAAATGTGCGCTACAGATTTTATTCCATGGTTTGTTAAAATTCTTGATTCTGATTGGCTGAAATGTGTGCTACAGATTAGTTCATTCCATGGTTTGTTGAAATTCTAGATTCTGATTGGCTGGAATGTGCGCTACAGATTAGTTCATTCCATGGTTTGTTGAAATTCTTGATTCTGATTGGCTGAAATGTGCGCTACAGATTAGTTCATTCCATGGTTTGTTGAAATTCTTGATTCTGATTGGCTGAAATGTGCGCTACAGATTAGTTCATTCCATGGTTTGTTGAAATTCTAGATTCTGATTGGCTGGAATGTGCGCTACAGATTAGTTCATTCCATGGTTTGTTGAAATTCTTGATTCTGATTGGCTGAAATGTGCGCTACAGATTAGTTCATTCCATGGTTTGTTGAAATTCTTGATTCTGATTGGCTGAAATGTGCGCTACAGATTAGTTCATTCCATGGTTTGTTGAAATTCTTGATTCTGATTGGCTGAAATGTGCGCTACAGATTAGTTCATTTCATGGTTTGTTGAAATTCTTGATTCTGATTGGCTGAAATGTGCGCTACAGAATAGTTCATTCCATGGTTTGTTGAAATTCTTGATTCTGATTGGCTGAAATGTGTGCTACAGATTAGTTCATTGCATGGTTTGTTGAAATTCTTGATTCTGATTGGCTGAAATGTGCGCTACAGATTAGTTAATTCCATGGTTTGTTGAAATTCTTGATTCTGATTGGCTGGAATGTGCGCTACAGATTAGTTCATTCCATGGTTTGTTGAAATTCTAGATTCTGATTGGCTGAAATGTGCGCTACAGATTAGTTCATTCCATGGTTTGTTGAAATTCTTGATTCTGATTGGCTGGAATGTGCGCTACAGATTAGTTCATTCCATGGTTTGTTGAAATTCTTGATTCTGATTGGCTGGAATGTGCGCTACAGATTAGTTCATTCCATGGTTTGTTGAAATTCTTGATTCTGATTGGCTGAAATGTGCGCTACAGATTAGTTCATTGCATGGTTTGTTGAATTTCTTGATTATGATTGGCTGGAATGTGCGCAATAGTTCTAGTTAGTTCAGTGATGATTCAGTTCAGTTCAATACGAATGCTGTGGTTGAAGGAAGTGATTTACTGTAATACACCAGTCATGCATGTGCACAATTGATATTTATATTTAAATAGAGTACGGTTTAAAACTTGGAACTTTGCCTGAATCAACAGATCAACTTGGGCCTGCTTCTGTTCTCATTGGTTGGATTCCTGCTGCCAGGATACCTTTTCTATCATCGCAGACATCTAATACAAGAAAAAGCAGCACGCGACGGTCAGTCTCTGAGCCTCAACCAAACCAATGATTCCTCAAAACATCAGGGGACCAACGGGGACATCTGAGGTGGAACATTTATGAGTGTGATGTATGTGAATTATGGATTTATAGATTTATGACATAGATTTATGACAGTTCCATATGGAAATATAGCATTCCTGTTCAGCCACCACAGAGAAAAAGTGTAAAAACAAAACAAAACAGCGAACATGCAATTCAAATCATTCAAGGCTGTGTGACTGGACAGGATGTATTTTCAAGGCTTTTGTTGGTGCACCAAACCCTATGCTTTACGATACACCTCCTGACAAAAGTCTTGTCGTCAATCCCAGTAGAAAGAGCAACAAATAATAATTTGACTTCTAGTTAAAGTGGCAGAAGGTACATTTTTCTAATGAATCATTTGTTGAACTGCATCCCAATCATCACAAATACAGCAGAAGACCTATTTGAACCCGCATGGACCCAAGATTCAGACATGTTTGGTGAAGGAAAAATCATGGTATGGGGTTACATTCAGTATGGGGGCGTGCGAGCGATCTGCAGAGTGGATGGCAATATCAACAGTCTGAGGTATCAAGACATTTGTGCTGCCCATTACATTACAAACCACAAGAGAGGGCAAATTCTTCAGCAGGATAGCGCTCCTTCTCATACTTCAGCCTCCAGCATCAAAGTTCCTGAAAGCAAATAAGGTCAAGATGCTCCAGGATTGGCCAGCCTAGTCACCAGACATAAACATTATTGAGCATGTCTGAGGTAAGATGGAGGAGGCATTGAAGATGAATTCAAAGAATCTGGATGAACTCTGGGAGTCCTGCAAGTAAGCTTTCATTGCCATTCCAGATGACTTTATTAATCAGTGATTTGAGTCATTGCAGAGATGTATGGATGCAGTCCTCCAAGTTTATGGGAGTTATACACAATATTCATAATTTTTCCACTGCACCATGACTTTATATTCTATACTGGACATTATTTCTGTTAAGTGAAAAGACTTTTAAGCAAAGTCAGACCTTACTGACCTAATTAAATAAATAAAAATCAAAGAATGATCATATTTTATTTTGGTAAAACAAGTGTAATCTAGAGGCCTTTGCCTTTCATATAAGCCACTTCTGATGCCAAATGATCAACTAGAAGTCAAGATATTTTTTGTTGTTCCTAAAATTTGGATAGACGACAAGACTTTTGTCAGGTAGAGTCATTTGGATGTGGAAACAGCATTTTTTTCATTATTGTTGAATTAACAATTTGAAATGTAATGATAGGAAAATAGGTAGCGGTTAAAAAAAAGAATCACAAAACTTTCTTCAAGAACAACCTACGAGGCGGGAAGCGTTTTGTGAAGGTCAGTATGAAATCAAAATCAGCTCTACGTTCAGTTTATAGTATTATTGCACATCTTTCATCAGTGCATTTTATTATACCAAAGACGTTTGTGTTCATAAGTCCAAAAACAATTGGCTGAAAACGTATATTTTACCATGAATCGTTCATCATTATGTATGTGCGGGTCACAGACATACTCAAATTCTCTAATATGAATAGTCCCAATATGAACATTTTTAAATGTTTGTTATTTCGTGGCAAGCAGGGAATGTAATGTTTCCATCAGGGCTCAGGGCAGGTAAATGTATCGCCACATTACCTTCACATGTATCAACCTGTGGTCTTTCCTTTGTATGTTTTTAATAGTGGTTTTGCAATTCCTCGCTCAAACCAAACGGACAATCAGCTTTGTAGGACCATTTGGTAAATACAGATTTTTGCACTGTATTCCTTGTTTCAGAAATACTGTTCTGTATGTTACAGGACTATAATCATGATCTCAACCTTTTTAATGATTGTAGTGATTTTTCAACACAACGGTGCTTTGCATTCTGTGCTTGATTCTGTAAATATGCCTGAAAGAGAAATGTAATAAATCAAAAGATTTTGTCACAGATTAGCCAGTTTCTCAGCTGATTGTTTTATTTGTAAAAACAAAAAACAAAAAAACGTTTAAAAAAGCTGAATGAAAAATGTTACATTTTTCATTGAACTCATAAATAGACACTGAGGCACTTACAAATATAACGCTTTACCAGATCATCTGGTAATTAATACATTACGTAATCAATACACACACACACACACACACAAACCTGGCATCTGATTCTTACTGTAACATCAATTGTGGGACATCCGGTAAAAAGCCCAATTGTCCAGCTTGTGCTTCACTGTAACACTTTCCTCTTGTTTTTCAGTTTTATCTCAAACTGCTGGTGCTGGGCTGAGCTCCGGTCATGCCTGGGTGATCAGGGCTGTGGCGATTCTGAAAATAGAGAAATATAGAGAATTTTTATATACAATTTTATTATTTTTATTATCACGTGTATTATTCAGTTCACACAAAAACACAGTTCACACTTCTATTAATTTACTCTAAAATGTTGGAGACTTTTTTTTCTTCATTAGTCGAAAATTAAAGATGAATAAAATTAAATAAATTTAAAATTTGCTTAAAAATTTGCTTTAAAAATTAGCTAAAATCCAAGTCGTTGCAAAAAAATGCAAATCAAGCGCTACCATCTCTTGGGAGTCACTTTAATTTAGTTTTTCCTCGTCTATGCTTTTTATAATAATAATTTCTTACATTTGTATTGCGCTTTTCTGGACACTCAATGCGCTTTACACATTGGGGAAATCTCCTCATCCACCACCAGTGTGCAGCATCCACATTGATGACACGACAGCAGTCATATTGCGCCTGACCGCACAGCACACACCAGCTGATTGGTGGAGAGGAGACAAAGTGATGAAGCCAATTATGTCATGGGGATGGTTAGGAGGTCATGATGGACAGAGGCCAGTAGGCAAATTTGGCCAGGATGCCGGGGTTAAACCCCTACTCTTTTTCGAAGGACATTCTGAGGTTTTCAATGACCTCAGAGAGTAAGGACCTCAGTTTCATGTCTCATTCGGAAGACATAGAGTCCTCATCAATATACAGAGGTATTAGGACCCACACAGACCACAGGTTAAGCGCCCCCTACTGGTCGCACTAACACCACTTCCAGCAGCAACCTAGCTTTCCCATGTGGTCTCCCATCCAGATACTGGCCAGGCACGGCCCTGCTTAGCTTCAGTGGGCAACTGTGTGAGAGTAGCAGAGAACTAGCTGCCAGCAAACTCTCAAAAGTGCTGTGAGACATTAAAAATCATATTTTAATGTTCTACTAAAGACAAAATGTCCATACATACTACAAAAAGTAGATCTTGGATAGCATGAGAATGAGCAGGAACTACCGGGATCAATTAGTACCGCTTGCATCTCAGTCACTTGAGTGCCCAAATTTAACCCATAAGCAGCAAAATGAGTAAGAAACAGATGTCTTTGGAAAGTTTCTTTGCTAAGGAGAAAAGGCCCAGTGAACGACCCACGAACTGCCAAGAAATAGAACCGCAACCCATTTTTTAACAAATCAGGTGAATCAACTGAAAAGTGCTGCAGGAGAACGCAAATGATAGCGGCCTTTCAGGGGCCATTCGTATATCGGGTCGGTTTGTGCAAATTTATTTCTAATGGAGGTGCGCGGCTTGCACGTACCGCACTGCGAGTCACCTGATAAGAACTGACCGATCGATCAACCTCAGCTTGGTATGGAATATACACATTTCAGAAGACTAATCCTCTCACACAAAAACAGAACACCCAAACACTGCAGTGCTTTGTAATTTTCTCCATAAATGAAACTTGTATCAGAATGACAGCAATGTTTTGTCAGCTTGTCATACTCTGGGTAAACGGTTGATGGTCGTCTAGCAACCTACGAACCACCATGGTAAAACTGTTAAGCGTTGACCAGTCGGCAGTGATAAGAAAGTTGCTCTAGCATTTCTAATAATTTAAAAAAACCTTTTAATCAACGACTACTCAAACAATCTTAAAATCTTTTTCATTGTATTTTTTATTCAAGCTGTGCAATATTTGAACATTGATTTTGAATACACAAAGTTAAATATGTTATGTATATAATATTAGCATGTGACACTAGCTATGTTTCCATCCAAAAATGCGTATTAACTTTGTGCAAAACTGAATAATCACATAAGACAGGGGTTTTCAAACTATTCCTTTTTTTTGTGCACATCATAATTTACTCAGGTCGACAATCCTGACTTACACTTATAAAAAATAATTTCCTAAATGCAATCTAGAATTGGGTATTCAAGTTCAAAGAGCCACAAGTTTTACTTTGCTTAATTTTAGAAGCTTTGCTGACTTTAAAATGTCCATACCAGTTTGTTCTATTAATAATAATACTGAACATTACATTTAAATTAGTTACACAAACAAATATGGGAAAAAGTGGAACAAAAATGCATTTATATTCAGAGTATTAAAATGTGACCAGGTATGTTGAGCTCCATTAAATACAGAGCACTAATACATTTTAATATTTAATAATTATTAGCCCTATAACATAACACAAACAGATACATTATAATTTTTAAAGGCTATAGTGGTTTTACTCAGTGTGTATACAATTTAGTTTTTTTAATCATCCAGTTATGAACCAATGTGTGTAAGACGTCCACTGCAGAGCTCATCCAGCTGTCATTAGTGTAACAGGAGTGAAACTGAGCACTCGCTGATGTGATGACAGCTCCATTCATTGTTATTGCAGCACTTTTTGCTTTACAATTTTAATATGTTTGTTTGCCATGCTGCAAAGTCTGATATTTGTACAATGCAAAGTGTAAAAGCCTGTCGCGCTGTGGACGAGGTGCAATGTTGTGCCGTGTCTTTAAAATGCTATTTGTTTCCTATGAGTGAAGCCTGCGCAGAGAGGCGCGTACTCCGCAGCACCCAGCTGATCGGTTACTTAGGAATGCAAGCCATAAACAGGGTAGTGCTTTCAGCCACCGATAATGTTCTTATTGATCATGTATTTTAACTGAAATATAGTCAGTCAAACCTGAGCATTCATTTAGTTGTTTAGCGTAAAAGAGGTAAGCGTAAGTGAAAGGTAAACGCCGTCAGGTGCAGCAGACAAGCGCCAAAAATCACAGTCAGGAAGCGCCTGGCCAGAATCGCTTATTCAATAAAAGTCCCCGTCCACGGAGGCGGGCCGCTGAGCTTCTTTTCCTGTGTCACAAAAGTGTCAACTGCATTTAAATTACATAAGTATAAAGCTTCATTTTTGCAGTACTTTTGAGCTCAAATTATAATAAAAATATATTAACCTTCAGAATGATGCAGGACACAAAGTTCATCCATGTGGGCTCATTGATCTAAAATTTCTTTGCAGCCCCCCTAGCGCCATCTGGCGGCCCCCCAGGGGGCCGCGGACCCCAGTTTGAAAACCCCTGACATAAGAGATGCGCGAATGAAAGCAGCATTTCCATCCAACAAATCAAAGAGAACAATATTGTTACTTCCTGATTAACTGGCGCCAAATATCAACAGTAAAAACGGAATCTGCTGCGGTAGGAGAAGTTGTGTGAGGCTTTTATTTATTTAATAAATGACTTGCACCTCAGAAGGCAATCCTGACACACAGTAAAAGCGTGGTGGCGTTTGAAGGAATGAAACGCGGAGCAGACACTCTTGACAGTTCTGGAGGTCATTAATAATATAATAACACTAATACTGAAATGTCAGTTTTAGTATGACCAAAACAGCAGATCAGATGTTTTACAGTGTGCTCAGCCTGCTGGTTTGTCCATTCACACACATTTTTATCGTCACCTGATCTCTTATAACAACATTTTTGTTCGGTAAAAGTGTTTCCATTGTAGTTTATGCGCATCTTTTCTTATTGAAGAAAATGTTTATCCTACTCAGACATGCACATTAGTTTTTTTATGCACATTTTCAAAACTTATGCACATCTTGGTGTTTCCATCAACCGATTTTTTTAATGCGCATATCCAAAACGCGCATAAATGTAGGTGGATGAAAACAGCTACTGAAGACTGGAGTTATAAAAAATATAAATCAAACTGTATGCAAACTGTATATTTTAAATCAGAATATTTGTAATCATTACTTTCTTTACTGTATGTGGAGTCTTTAGATCTAAACATCTAAAAAGTAATGTTAAAATAATTCCCATTTGTAATGTTTTTTTCAGCGTATAATATAACAAGTGTATAATAACTGCAAATAACCTTCTTCTTTTTCTTATCTTTCTTCTTTTTCTTTCTGTCCGGGTCATCGTCCTTCTTTTTCTTCTTCTTCTTATGGTCTGAATCTGACGGAGTTTCTATGGTAAAGACGGGAGACTGGGTCAGAATCAGAATGCAAGAAAGCACACGTTCCTCTGTTTGTGTGTCTGTAAGGGGCCGTCACCTGGTGGTAAGGGGTCCTGAGGTCGATGGTGTTTGTGCTTGTGTTTGTTCTTCTTCTTAGGCGGCTGAATGTGCATCAGTCTGTACTGCTCTGGTAACTTCAGCAAGACAGACATAGAGTCAGATAAAACATACACAAAAAATCCCAGCAGATTCTGTAGGTCAGAATACACTCAATATCCCTCAAAACACTTATTAAGGAAATAGATCAATTTGATTGACTGACGCATGTATTACACAAACTAACATTACCAAAAAAGTTGACTCCTTGATCGTCCATATATTATTTGCACCCTGCGTAAAAACTAGGGGTGTAACGCATCACGGTTAATCCTAGATTCTTATGGATCACAACCCACATTTCGAAACACAAGTGACCCGTGGATTAATACATTTTTTAAATTGTAGATTAATCCTAAATTTGTAACAATTGCAGAGAGATCGCCTCTCGCGTCATTCAAATCACATGTATGAAAGCAATTACACTTTCCTGTAAAATATAATGATGACAGAAGAAGTTGTTGTAGGTTATTTGGGATGTGGTGGGTTTCTTAGGTTATTAAAGGTGTTTTCTGCCACTACTAGTTTAGCCTGTATTAATGCATTCAATGTAAGCTGCACGAATAATCATTGAAAAGTTTGGGATCTCAAAACCCCCGCAACCTGAACTTTAAATGATGGTGATTTGCATATGTTTATTGATCCTTCGACTCGCTGAATTCAAAACTGCGTTTGAAAAATGCAAAAATCAAAAAAGAGATTGAGTCTTTAGTCTTTTGAGTTAGTTATGTAGTTACAAACAGTCAAATGACACAGAAATACTGGTAGAACAGTCTATAGTTAATATCATTGGTTCTCAAACTGTGGTACTTCTTCTAGTGGTACGTGGACGAATTAAACATGTCATATGTACATGCTACATATATTTAAAAATCTATCAAAAATGATTTTATATATGAATATGATGACATATAGCCTATATTTATGAGGTCCAGGCAACATTTCCAGGTGTTGATATATAGGCTACTACATGTTAATACTTTACATTTAAGTACAGACTTTTTTTTTAGCTTTTAAAAACAGTAACCTATCATTTTTAATGTTTAAAAGCACATTTTAATTTAAATGTTGATGTTTTTAGTTTGTTTTCGTTATTTTTATTTATTTATTTTTTAATACAGTGTTAATATTCAAACTATAACGTTTAAAGTGGCTGACAAAAATAAATGGGAATTAAAACAATAAAATAGTAGGAATAAATCTGCCGCGTTTTGTAAATGTACAGAGCTGTAGCTGCTTTACTGGGCCTACTACGCTACTGGGTGGTACTTGATGAAAAGAGTTTGAGAACTATTGGTTTAGATAAAACCACTGGGGTTTATGGTAAAGATTAAAATCACCGTCATGTGCTCAGAAATTAAAGTTGTATGCAGCAATTACATTATTTAACCAATAGGTGGCCATCAAAAATATGCCTTTGAATTATTCTTCACAAGTAAATACATCTAGCAATGAAATATGACGTTTTATGTGTGAATAACTGAATCATTTATTGAAAATGAGAAATTTATTGAAAATGAGTACAAATTATAATGTTAGATTGATATACTTAGCATTATCAGAAACAGTAGTAGTAATTTTTCACAGTACTGAATATTTTACTATAAATTTTTATTCAGCTGATTATTGCTTCATTTTATTTGTAATAAAGTTACAAGTTCTAAGTTCTGTTTGTTAAAACCAAACTTGTCCTGCAGTACTGTTTTGTAATGAATAAAAAGCTAATTAAATTTGTTTCCTCCCTTTTGCTGACCCGAAAAATGGTCCGATCCGTGACTAAAAAAACAGTGATCATAATTATTATGATTAATAATAATTATGATTAAATAATCATAATTATTTATGATGATGTGATCCGAACCGTAAGATATGTGATCCATTACACCACTAGTGAAAACTATGAAACTCGTTCAATAAGATTTTTTACATCTTTACATTCTGACTGACGGTCAGAGTAATCCAATATAGGCAATGAATCAAAACTGGGCATCAAGACATGGTAGTGTAAATGAGGCCTAAATGCCTTTCTCTGTCTCTCTGTCAAACAAATGCACTTACAGGGCCAGTGTGTAACCTGAAGCCGGTGAGCATGGCTCCGGTCAGAGGACTGAAAGAGTTGTTGCACACAGGAGGCTTCTCGATGAGAGAGCGCAGAGAACTGTTGTCCTGAATGCCTGGGCTGTCTATCATACCTGGAGCACAGGAGAGTCAAAAACAACGTTGTAACCCTCACCTAGTGTTATGATACATTACGTACACTACAGTTACAAAACTGCTCAAAGATCTGAAAAGGAAGACAAGAATACGCACCAGGAAGCTCAGGAAGAAAGTTGCTGAGTTTCTCCTTCACCTTCTTCCCACAGAACTTGTTGTACGCGTGCTCCAGGTTGTAGTGCGTGATGAGATTAGTGTGTCCCGTCAGCTCATTTTCCACTGTGAAGATGATAGGAGGGGGTTAGTGAAGGTAATAAACAACATTGAAAACCATAAACAGTTCTTAATTCTTAATTACTACTTAATTCACTGCCAGGTCCGTGCAGAGACCGTCCAAAGGGCATGTGCAGGATACATTTTTTTAAGAGGGGGGGGGGGTTGTTTGTTGTTGCGCGCGTACTAAAGAGCGGTGTTGTCGGTTGTCGCGCGCGCACGTACTCAAGGGCGGTGTTGTCGCACGCCTACTGAAGGGCAGGACCGAGGGTGTGCTGCGTCGCGGGGGCACTTTTGATCATTTTGGAAGGGCACTTTCTATCCAAGACTAAAAAGGGCATGTGCACTGCACAGCCCTATGTGTGCACGTGCCTGTTCACTGCTATTACAAAATCTGCAGTGGCAACTTTTTCTGCTCCTGGAAAAATACTATGATCCAGATCAATAGTTCTTAGCCATTTTGAACTGGTAAAATGTGAATTAGTGTCAACAATAAATGTACATATATATATTTATAGCACATTCTTGCTCTACATCTTCACTGTTGGCCTTAGTGTGTACCCCTTTTGTCCAGTCGCACCTCTAAGTATACTACAAACCCAGTTGTTTGTTCTTCTCTCAGAATTTGGAGGCAGTTCAGACATTTTAAACTTGCTGCTGCTTCTGTTTATGGCCCTATTTGTAATACTCATCTATTTCAACATTAGAGACTTCTTATGGTTAATGTAAAAAAAGAGGCCTCTGACATTTTTTGATTTATTTACTCAGAGTTTTTGCTAGTTTTTCTGTTCTTGGAGAGAAATTTAACATTCCAAAGTCTAATTTGTTTTTTGTTTTTGTTTAGCTATGTAATTTTGTCTGTTCCCATTGACAATTTCATTTCCTAACCTGTCAGAGGCTTCTTTTTAAGAGAGATGCTTAATTCAGAGTCATAGCTCTATATCTATGCATGGGCCAGTGCAAGTTTCTGACGGTGTGATAACCTTGGATAAAATGTCACAGTTTCATGATTTCCCGGTATTGTGGTTACTGCTCTAAAATAAGTTCTTTTTAAATGTCTGGGTAAAAACTTTTTTCCCCATTGAACAGAATTTATTTTATTTTAAGAAACATTTATAATATTTTGGAACAGTAAACATGTCAGGCAAAATAGTTTAAATAAATCATTGACTTTTGCTGTCTTTGTTAGTTTCAAAAACTGAGATTTAAACAAACCTTGGGAATGGTATAACAGATAATTTTAGCGATATTAATACCTTGACTTTTCTACCCTCAATGGCTACTGAGGGTTTTTGAATGTTCTCGTTTACCCTTAGTTGCTTTAAAAAAGAGAAAATTGTAGTATTTTTTGTAGACTTCACAAAAGTAAATAATTGGACCCTGGGTTAAGATCTACTGAGGTAGATATGATAATTATTGTTACTATAACAAAACCTTAAATTATATATTTGATATAAATTATGTAAATTCCCTCAGGTGCTAACTTTTGTACTACTTTATTTTACAATACATGAACTTGCAATGTTCTTACCTAACAAAGTACTGCATTATATAAATTGGGGTTCAAGGGAAGTTTAGGAATAGTTATCAGTTTTTATAAATACTATAATAATAAATACATATAATGTATATGCAAAATAAAGGGGTTGTATAATAACATTCCATATCGCGTTTCATATTTTGCAATTTGCACACATGTTGACCACGATATTTTATTATATATTTGATCAGACATATGGGTGTATGGTGATATTAAATCGACCAATGCATGATCATACTATAGTATAGCAATAGCTATTTGGACGTGATATATCGGTGTTCTGTAGGCTGAATACTATCCTGCTATTGCAATAACATAATCACAGAGTCTTGTAAAATTACACCGATATGCTGTTTTATTATATATTATTATGGAGAAATCAACAGAAAAGCTGGTCTCACTGGGCAGTTCTCTCAGCAGATAGAAGGGCTCGTTCATCGCAGCCGGTTTTCTGACCGGAGCCCCTTCTTCCATCATCTGATGCGGGAAACACATCGGGCCCATGTTTTGGGGGACCTGAGGTTTCCCAGAGCCAAAGCCCAGCGCGGACGGTCCTGCGGGGCCCTGGGAATCAGGCTGGCCATACAACGAGGAGAAGATTTCTGTCATGATGACAAAAACTACGCTGCGAGCCTGCGACGGTTTAATTGTATGGACGTTTGTATTCGGTTGACAATTACTTAACGTCCGTAACGTTCTGTCTGTTGACAATTGCTTCCGGTTATTCGTTTACCTTCGGGAAAGTTACCGTAATTGATGAAGTACATGCTCACACTGTGTAGATTTCCAACATTTTACATAACAGACTTGTATATGGTGGTGTCACAATGCAGGTTATTATTTAAAACTGCTATTTAATTGCATAAATAATCATACACGACAAAACAAACAAATAATGTTTGCGTATGTGACGCATGTTAAAATCATCGCGTTGTGTGTGTTTATTACGGTAAACAACACACTTTCTCTTGTCCTTCCCTTTATGTGACATCACAAAACCAATAAGAGACGCCATTTGGGTGAAGTGACCAATCAACGGCCGCGCTTTAAAGAGGCGGGGCGATTTTTTCTTCGTCCGCTGTGACCTCTGTCCCTTTAAATCGGTTAATTCATTCGCCGACGAAAATTATCACGCACTGGAAGCGGCGTTGATGCGGACTCTGCCGTTTTGGACCACAACAGCACTTGTTTTCTGATAAAAGTAAAACCAACATGGCATTGTTAACACCTCTGTTCGCGTTTCTGTATCATTTGCCGCAGGTTTACAAATGGCTACTAAAACCGTACTACATCGCGTCGTTATTTATGTCTATCGCGTTCGTGATGATCCGCAAAATGCCCGGAGTCTGTGAACATCTTTCGACGCAGCGCGAGGATGGCAACTCGTGTGATTTTGATTGGGTATGTATAAAGCAGACACATCTGGGGTTTCAACATGATAACAGTTGCAGATAACCTGCTCTGTAACATGGGAACTGGGCTCTGTGGGCAGTGGCCACATATGATGGGTGACAGAATTTGGGGGTCGCTATTTAGCTTACCACGATATCGTTTGAGCATCGATATATCGCTATGTGTGTGTCTGCAATAGTCACATCGCACTCGCAGGATGTGGAATGTTGAGTTATGAATATAGATGACCAGAATCTACTGGCCAAAACACATCAGATTTATGGAGACACTGCAGAATTTAACCATTATAGAGTGAAAGTTTAAAATTTCCATGTGTTTTCAAGGCACATTGTGAACATTTTAAGAGTTTAAAGCGTTTGAAGAGAACATAAAGAGCAAAAAAAGTAAAAAACTAAAAAGCATTTTATGGAATTAATTATTTGTTGAAGAAGTTGCAATGCTCATTTACATTTGATTACTAAATTTTTGTCCCAGAATACACTCCCCAGAAAACCATAAATCACAGTTTATTTTAGCTTCAACATTTGCTCCATTGTGTTTATTTATAACTGTGGTTTGTTTATTATATGTATATAATAACTTACATATAATGTATTTATATTTCACTCCCATACAAATCTTCCCAATCATTCTAAACAAATGACTTTCCAAACACGGCTATTTAAGTCATGTAGTGAAACTGTATTTATATCACAATATCCAAGTTTTCCAGTATTGTGCACCCATTATATATATAAAATTATAAAACAATGAATATAACAGTATGATTGTGTAAGATCAAAATAAATAATAATGATTAAAACAAATAAATACAGATGAGATCCAAAACGAATAATGACATTTTATGTAAACAAGTAAACAGTTTGACGAGTAGATAAAATAATGTCATTTGACAAGTTAAAATTGAAATGATATTTTAGACCCATTTATAATTTTTACAGTATGAATTCTTTATACAAAGTCCATAACGTTCTACAGTTGGTTTCCCTCAAATGTGGATGATTATATTTGTGGGTCTATGGCGACTGACCTTTAAATATAAAAACCACTGTTTTAGCACAGATATTTTATCATAGGGCTCATATGTTAACTTTGACTGTATATTAACTTTACTGTAACATGTATGTTTAACATTTAATGTAAATTAATGCCTCTGCTGTGCTCCTGTGTTGTTTCAGAGAGAGGTGGAGATACTGATGTTCCTGAGTGCAATAGTCATGATGAAGAACCGAAGAGCAAGTAAGAGTTTAAACAATCTTAATCCATTATTTTCCCATCTGTGAGCAGTTCTTTATCTAATAACATTATATTTACTGACATTCAGAAAAAAAAAAACCTTTTGAATTTAATCAGTAGGCAGAGGTTGAATGATAAAGTGATAATTACCATAAAATTAAGTGTCATTATTTTACTTGGGTTTTCATTTGTTCTAAACCTGAGTTTCTTTCTTCTATTGAACACAAAGGAAGATTAATCTTTGTTTTGTTCCTACTATGTGCTGCTTTTCCATCATCATTCAGAATGTCTTTGTGTTCAATAAAAGAAAGACGTTCATAAAACTTTAGAAGCACTTGAGTGTGAGTAAATGCTGGGCAATTTTTTTGGGTGAACTATCCCTTTAAGCTTTGTTTATACATGAAACATTTCTCATTGGCAGTTGTGCTTGTGTTTGTTGTTAAACCAATTTTCTTTGTCTTGCAGTGTTTCTGTTATTGTCTATTTTCCATATTCATCTCACCCCATTTGACTTATGCATCACAAGTGAATTTTAATAATGTGTTGTTTTGTTTGAATCTTTGCTCCACAGTTACCATTGAGCAGCATGTGGGCAACATCATCCTCTTCTGTAAAGTGGCCAACGTGATCCTGTTCTTCAGACTGGACATACGTTTGGGGCTTTTGTACTTGACCTTGTGTATTGGTCAGTATTTGTTTTTTTTCTGCAAGATTGCAAATTGTGAATTGAGTAGAAAGTTTTTTTTTATTTTTATTTTAAACCAGAGATGCCCAAAGTAGGGCCCACAGGCCTACGGTAACCTTTGTATTCACCATGTCATCTGAAAAGAGAGTGAGAACATTGGGGAGGTGGTTAGGGCGAATGCCTTTGACAGAAATTGTCATTTTCAATTGAACATAATCTTTTGCTTTTAGTTTTATAGATAAGCTGAAATTAAATGGTTAATTTAAATGTATGAATGAATCAGACTTTTGAAATGTAAATACTGTCACCTGACGTACATCTAACATCTCCGAGCAAATCAAGGTAAAGGCAGGAGCAGCTCGATTAGTGTATTCAGCATTGAACTCCATTGTGTTATGAATTGGATTGTTAATGTTTTTACTCTAATAAGTTCATTATGAAATGTTAAAAATGATACTGCATTAGTTAATGTGATGTAAAGCAATGTTTTCTAGTTTGTTTTTTTTAGATATTACTGAATAAATCAGGAAATTCCCCTTGGCCAATTTACGGGTTGGTAAATATTTGGCCCACAGCTGTCAATCAAGTCTGGGTTTTGGCCCTTTATAGGAAAAAAGTTTGGGCACCCCTGCTTTAAACTAACAATAGACCAAACCAAATGTTAGGTACAGTTAAAGGCAGAATTATTAGAAATTAATTCGATTTCAGATTTTTCCTAAGTGATATTTAACAGAGTAAGGACGTTTCCACAATGCTTTCTATTATCTTTTTTCTTTTCTTTTTTTCTTCTTATTATTATCATTTAGTTTAGTTTATTATTATCATCAAATAGCATTGTCTATTGTATTATCAAAATACTTTTTTGATGCAAAATTAATTTAGACAGGCAGTTATGACTTATGTCACAGGATTAAGAAACCTGAATATTATCCTAAAGAAAATCCGCTCTAAAAGTAAAACTAAATGAATTGCTAAATACTTTTGACACATTAAAGTGTAAAGCCTACAGCCCTCAACAAATGTGGAAACATATTGCATATAATATTTCACAAAGTGTTTATTACAAAGTTCATGTAACTTTGTGTCATGTAACATGGATAATTTAACATTGATCAAATGGTGTTACTACAATACTGTGCCATCAGCCAGCCATTGCATTTCTTCTTTGTTCTTCTAGAGAAAGTTTTATTTGTTTAAGTTGGGCTTTTTACATTTTTTTAAGGACAATATTATTAGCCCCTTAAGAAAATAATTATTTTGATTGGCTACCGAGAAAACCCTCTGTTGTCGGATTTCAGGGACTCGCTTAATTAACTTAACTTTACCAGTTAAATCTTGTTAAACCTTTAAATCAAATTTTAAGCAAAACAAAAATTAGCATTGTTTTTGCAAAATAACTACAAAAGTATTATTTACTGTCATCATGGCAAAGACAAAATAGTGATAAGTGATTTAAAACTGTGTTGAAAAAAATCTTCACTCCATTAAACGGCACCCGGGAGATATATAAAAAAATTGTATTCAACTGTACATTTTAGTACGGATGACAATTTTTATGCATTTTAATATTTTCATGTCCCATTGCAGTTTTTCTGATGACGTGCAAACCTCCTCTGTACATGGGCCCTGAATACATCAAGTATTTCAGTGATAAAACCATTGACGTGAGTATTATTTCTGATCTGTGAATTTGCTTTAGAGACGAGGCAGAACTTGCAGGGCTCCCACAGTCATGGAATTTTAAAAGGCCTATTCCAGACATTTAAAGTCAGGGAATTTTATATTTGTTTTTGTCAAAGCCATAAAATATCAGGAAATTTTTATTTGCCATTAAAAATTCAGCTTCGTTAAATTCTTTCCATTTATTAAAATGTGGTTTTTTTTTTTTCTGTACCATGTTTTATATCACATTGTTACAGCAATTGGCAGTCAAATGTAGCTGAGTATACCTGTTAAAATACTTTCTGTGATTGTTTTTTGTCTGACTCGGTGTTCAACCAGTCCTTGCTATTATTTGCGGAAAAAAACAATTTCGATTTTTGCAGCCAAAAATTTTTTTGGTAATTTTTAAAATTTTATTTGTAAATAATTTTTTTTTATTTTGTGACAATATTTACTGCAATTCTTGTGGCATTTTGTTGTGAAAATATGCACAAAAGTACACATCTTAGTTGTTTATTTGATTTATTTATTTTTAACCTCAAGAATTTCTGTTATATATGACAACTTGAGGTATCACACACCAGGTAAGCACTTTCTATATGCATGTTTTTCTATATAATGTTTAATATAAACATGTTCAAATGTGTGGTTCTTTTAAATTAGTGTGGAAACTGCTAGCTGAACCAGTGTCTGTGCATTTTTACTGAAATTTGTAAACAACACTTTCCAAAGACTACAACATTAACATAGTTTTATTCTCATCATAGTCACAGTGCTGCTCATTAAAGGTTATTACAAATATCTTAAATGTGTTCTTCTCTTGCCTTAAATCTATATTTGTGTGTGTGACCAGGGAATTACTTATGCATTTTATAAAACAAGTAAATTTAGCCCTGTGCACAGCATTATTTTAGACGTTTCACCACAGATTATACATTTATAAAAGTTTTTTTTTTTTTTTACTTTTTTTGATAGGTGTTAAAAATGACAGCGTGGAACGTTAACTGAATCAGGACTAAATTTATAATTTTGTTAAGATTAAGCATTATTAGTTCAACAATTATAAATGTGTTTAACATCTCATTTCAGATTAGTTATTTTAATGTAAACATAATAATTGGTTAATTGGATTTCCTTTTAATTTTCATCTTAAGAATATTTTAATCTTAATACCAGGTAAAATGGGGTCCTTGTTACCTTTAAAAAGCCAAAATGTAGCGTAATACTTGGCTTATTACTTTTCTTTGTGGCTTAGTCCCTTTATTAATCAGGGATTGCCACAGCGAAATGAACCGCCAACTTATCCAGCATGTTTTACGCAGTGGATGCCCTTCCAGCCGCAACCCAACACTCTTACATACTCTTACACACTTCACATACATACACTACGGCCAATTTAGCTCATTCAATTCACCTATAGTGCTTGTCTTTGGACTGTGGGGGAAACCGGAGCACCCGGAGAAAACCCACGTGAACATGGGAAGAACATGCAAACTCCACACAGAAATGCCAAATGACCCAGCTGGGGCTCGAAGCAGTGACCTTCTTGCTGTGAGGCGATTGTGGTATCCACTGCACTACTGTGACACCACTTAAAAGAATTCGAAGGTCATAAAGGTTTATTAACATTGGGTGCTTAGAAACAATAATCCAAAGTAAGTTTTTAACCCAGGTTTGGCGGCACACTCAAATTTCAGTTAAACTTTACCTTTAGCAGCCTGAGGGGAATATTGTTTGAAAAATGTTGGTTTACGCTAGTGAATTTAGGATGTGGCTTTCCTTTTGTCTGCAGGAGGAGTTGGAGAAGGACCACAGAGTGACCTGGATTGTGGAGTTTTTTGCTAACTGGTCACCAGAGTGTCAGTCTTTCGCCTCTGTCTATGCTGATCTGTCCTTGAAGTAAGACACTTGCCCTTGAAATATAGACTGTCATTTATAAGTTTGCGTTTACAAACATACTTTTACATTTTTTTAATTTCATTAAAAGAATATTGGCACTGTTTACCAAAAAATACAAAATCTGTCATTATTTACTCACTAATCACTTGTCACAAACCTGTTTGGCTTTCTCTCTTCTGTTGAGCACAAAAGAAGTTATTTAGAAAAATGTTATAAACCGATAACTATTTACTTCCATACTATTTGTTTTTCCTAATATGGATGTCAGTGGTTAGCAGTTTCAAACATTCTTCAAAATATCTTCTTTTGTGTTCTTTCTAACAAAAGAAAGATGCTCGTAAAGGGTTCACCTGAGGGTGAGTAAATGGTCAGTAGTTTAAAAAAAAAAGTCTTGGTAAACAGAACCTTCATTTTTAGTACTTACATTTTATTACTAAGCCCAATCTTCTCATCAATTTCTAACAATTTAAATGCTGTGAATGGAGATGACTAACCTCTCTTACTCTGTGCAGGTATAACTGTGCAGGTCTGAAATTTGGCAAAGTGGACATCGGTCGTTACGGTGAAGTATCTAAGAAGTAAGTTGCTTTGTCTCCCATTGAACACATGCAGATTAATACCCAGTAGAAAAAGGATTAACAGCATTTGTATGTGTTTGTTGTCCTCAGGTACAGGGTCAGCACCTCTCCTCTGTCAAAGCAGCTGCCCTCTCTGGTGCTATTTCAAGGAGGAAAGGAGGTCATGAGGCGCCCTCAGGTGGACAAGAAGGGACGAGCAGTGTCTTGGACCTTCACAGAGGTATGGCGCAGGACCATGTTTATCTGGATACTTTTGAAAGTGCATAGCCTACCGTTTTTCCCAGGATTCTCCCACATTTTTTCTATTCTATCGTGATATCATTCAATTGAAATATTTTCCTGTATTTCTCCTGTATTTCTAATCTCTCTATGATGGATGACAGAAGCATCTACACCAGTGTTTCTCAACCACGTTCCTGGAGGACCTCCAGCTCTGCACATTTCCCATGTCTTTTTAATTAAACTCACCTGATTAAGATCATCGGCTCATTCGCAAAGTCTGAAAGACATGGCATGCAGTGTTGGTGGTCCTCCGGGAACGTGGTTGAAAAACGCTGATCTACACAGTACCACTGAACCAACAGGGGGTTCTCTTGCTTACATTTTGGTATACAAGAGCTGTTCAAGAGAATTATACTTTCTTTTTTTTTTTCTTTTTTTTTTAGGCATCGTCCGAAACTGCCTACTACCCAGTAGATAATTTTATTTGAATTTAAACGTACTCTCGGCTGTTAGAAAACTACATTCTATACAGTATCAATGTGAGTAGTATGAATGGATTTCAGACGTACTACATCGTCCATTTTGTCATGGTCACATGACCTACCCAGGTCAGTTGTGCTGCTTCACTCCCATTCATAAATTGTCTCTTGGGGCATCATGGGATAGCACAGCTTGCCTGGGATGCGCACTTCAGAATCTTGCCGGAAGTAGTAGGTCATCCGGTTACTTCTCATATATTATTTTTCGAATTCTATGAATTTGGACATACTACTCTGCTCGCTTACTGATTTTAGAGTACGATATAATATGGAAGTATACGGTTTTGGAAGTAGCTTTAAACACTTTGAACTGATGATAAAAATGGCTGCATTCCCTTCCTTTTCATTAAAGCCATGCAATGTCGCTCTTCTTATGCAACCTTTAAATAATGGAGAGTATCCTTTATTTTCTCATTCCAATAGTTGCATTTTTAAAGTATTAAGCGTCTTGTTCACACTTAAACATTGGTCTGAAAATTATATTACTGTGAGATTGCCTAAACGCACAATAAGTAAGGAATAATGTACATCTAGGCGGTTTATTTGCAGAATAAAGCCTGACTCGCTTATCATTAGACTGAAGGGATTTATATTGAGCAAACTGTCTAGATATACATTACAGTTTATTACACTGATACTTGTTACAAAACTTAATATTTAGACACAAAACATTGACCTGAGCTGTAATTTACAAGCCCTTTAATTAAACGGGAAAGCTGAAAGAAGCAAAACAGGCGGAATGCAGCATAAACATATATATTATTCAGTTACAAGATGGCGTCAAACAGTCAATGTAAACGAATGTATGTTTTCAGTCACAAGATGGCGCCAAACAGTCAAGAACAGCGTTTTGAAAGAAAAGCCTGTTAATATGGATATGAATGTGTTCACTAATGGTCAAGATGACACCAACTATCTGTACTGCTGTGTTCAGGTGCAACAATAGTACAAATCTCAAAAACACTTGCCAGAAACATTTAAAATAAGAATCATTTGATGGCTTTTTTATAGACCGCAGTGCAGCTCCAAAACACTAATTATTCGCCATTTTGTTTTTATCAATTACCGCAATTCTTCAACCACTAAGCTTTACTCAGAAATACAAAATGTTTTCTCAGAAATACATTTTTAATTCTTTAAAATTTATTAAAATATTGTCACTTATTCTCTTAATGATTGTGAATAATTGTGAATAAATCTGGTAACTCTGAATGACGATTGGACATTTCAGCTATCTTTAGTTATTTTATTTTCACACAAGTTACCTGAAACATTAAAGTGACGTTTGACTTGCCTATATTTTGCTTTCTATGGTTAGAAATTCATTTTTGTAAACTAAATTTGTCACAGGCACCAAAATTTGATCCCATCTTTGACCCGCATAATGGTGTAAACTTAGAAATCTATGGTTACAAAACTGCATCATAACTAAATGTGTGTCATAGTTCTCAAAGACCTTTATTTTTAAAGTCCACACTACAACACAAAAACCCACGTTTCCAAATTTATCCATTCGGGTGCATCTTAAATTCAGTTTTTGAAGTATAAAAATCTCTTTGTGTGTGTGTGTGTGTGTGTGGTTGGAAGGCCAAACTATGAGGAAAAAATATGCAAATGTATCTGGATTTATATAAAAAGTTATAAGTAATAATAATAAAAAACTTCATCCATAAAACAGCTCACATGTGTCCTAACTACAGAAATGCAAGTTTAATTATATGAGTAAATATTACATTTCATTAACATTATGAAAGTACATGCTGAGTGACTGATGTTGGTTTGCAAGTAGTTCTGACATTTATGATTAAACTGTTTGCTAGTTGTTTTACTTTCTAACATCTGCTGCTTTCAGTATGCCAATAACGGTCAAGTAAATAATATTCAAGCTCACATTGGCAGCATTTAACACTGAAAAAAGCACATCATCAGCACCTGAGATGATCATTGTCATAGAAGTTATTGCTGTTGTTCAGCCGCGACGTCAGAGAGATAGAAACCATTTATAAAATAAAAAACATTTATGCAACGTCTTTATAGATGTTTATAAAAAAAAAACTAAGTTGGTAAAACTATTGGTTAAAACGTATTCGTTAACTGAAATGTTAACACTGCTGTCACTGAAAAACAAAAGTAAAATTATAATTAGCCAAAAAAAATTGTAAACTAGCCATAGCTAACTACATAAGATCCCTAATTTGTCTGAATTCATATAAACTGCATTTGTATGGTTTTGTGTTGTGTTTGTTCAAAAAAATATTACTAAGAGGTTTGCAAACTAAAAACTAAAATTACTAAAACAGAGACCAAATATATAAAAATAAAATCAATGTATTCACAAAACTAAAACGAACAAAACCGTTAATAAGGAAAAAAAAAAAAAAGAACTGAAATTTACAGCACATTTTAAAATAGTATCGAAATAAGTACTAATTTAAAAATGCAATAACCTTGGTTTCAACTCCAGCATCGCATGTAGATAGACATTGTGGCTGCGTCTGAAATCACTTATTGCCTTTCTATATAGTATGTGATAAATCAATAAATATAACAGTATGTAAGCCGAGGACTAGTATGTCACAACTCATAGTATTTGAAAAAACGATATACCTTAATGATAAATGGAAAACAATTTGAAAGCGATATGCGCATCCAATGGATACGCAATACGCTTCCCATAATGCCACACGAGAGAATTCACGAATGTAACTGAAGCGACGAAACTGACATGTGATAATGACAAATGGCAGATCTAGTACATCCGAATTCCATTCATACTATATAGAGCATCTCTAATGGTCGTGTAGTAAATTTAAATGTAGTACCCTTTCGAGTAGTAGGTGATTTCGGACACAACCTTCACCTTATATTTTCTGTGTACTGTTTACAGACAAATGGTGTGACCCTTTTATTGTTATTGTTGCTTATTTCTAGGAAAACATCATCCGAGAGTTTAACCTTAACGAGTTGTATCAGAAGTCGAAGAAACTCGGAAAGACCAAAGAGAAGTTGGAGAGGCCCAGCGAGCTCGTGTTTTCCACCGTCCCGGAAGAAGAAGAACCAGAGGCTGAAACCATCAGTGCAATGGACACAGAGAGCAAGAAGGACAAATAAAAAACTGCATGCGGCTGATGAACACTGTTGATCACCGCTGGCCTGGAGCAGATCGTGCTGAAGCTCAGCATGCGGAGAGAACGCTTGTGTGTAGTTACCAACAGAATGATTGTTCTTTTCTTTTGTATAACCTATTAATTCAATTGCAAAATCAGTCCAGTAATTTAAAAATTCCTAATATTATTATTGATAATCATCAATGAGCTGGATACAGTACGCACAGGCATTCAAATCTATCATTTCATACAGCGATACTTGATTTCTGTCAGCTGTTATTTTTAATCGATAATTAGACATCTACCTCTACAATGGCTTGTAAATGTGATCCCAGCAAGCATATTTTTGTACATCTAATCGACATCTTGGCTAAAACAAGTCTACATTTGGTCTGTCAGTGAAAATCTAACAGACATCTAACAACAGTGTAAAAATAGACTAGTCAACAGATTGACAGGAATGAACGACTACATGTGAAATCTGTCTATTCGACAATGAGTCTGTTATTGGTTTATTGTTAAACGTCTATTCGATTTTTACAGACAGACCAAATTTAGCCTGGTTTTAGCTTAGACGTAAGTGTTTGGATGTCTTTTAGACGTCTTTTAAATACAAAAACTGACACATGAATGTCTATTAGATGTCTGTTAGATGTCTTTTAAACAAAAACTGATACATGGATGTCTGTTAGATGTCTTAAACACAAAAACCAATGTATGGATATCTATTTGACGTCTTTTAAACAAATCCATGCATGCATGTATGTCTGTCAGACATCTTTTAAACAAAAACTGATGCATGGATTTGTATTAGACATCTTTTAAACACAAAAACCAATGCAAGTATGTATATTAGATGTCTGTTAGACATCTTTTAAACAAAAACTAATGTGTGGATGTCTATAAGACGTCTTTTAAACCTAAAAACTGATGAATGGATGTCTAATAGATGTTTATCAGATGTCTTTTAAACCCAAAAACCAATGCACGGATGTCTACTAGATGTCTATTTGATGTCTTTTACACACAAAAACCAGTGCATGGATGTCTATTAGACGTCTTTTAAATATGAAAACTGATGCATGCATGTATGTATATTAGATGTCTGTTAGACGTCTTTTAAACAAAAACTGATGCATGGATGTCTTTTAAACATAAAAACCAATGCATGGATGTTTATTAGATGTCTATTAGACTTCTTTTACACAAAAAATGATGCATATTAGACACACACACACACACACACACACACACACACACACACACACACACACACACACACACACACACACACACACACACACACACACACACACACACACACACACACACACACACACACACACACACACACACACACACACACACACACACACACACACACACACACACACACACACACACACACACACACACACACACACACACACACACACACACACACACACACACACACACACACACGATGCATGGATGTCTATTAGATGTCTAATAAACAAAAACAGATGCATGGACGTCTATTAGATGTCTTTTAAATAAACAAAAACAAAGTGCTTGCTGGGAGCATCACTGTTGGGGAACAAATTTTATATCAGTTTCTTTCTACTGTATTGTTGCTCTACTCATTCCTTTTTCACTCCTTGTGTTGTTGTTTTCATTTTGTTTTTGCTCTTCATGGTGTGCTTTTATGATGGTACTGAGTGTTCGACTCAATTCAGTGTTCTGAAAAGGGAGGCTCTTGCCAATATTCATGTCATGAGAATCTGTTCAAGCAAGATGTTATGAAACATGGTAACACTTTACAATATGGTGGTATTGGTTAATGCATTTACCAACATGAACAAACAATCAACAGTACAGTATATTTATCTTTGTTAACGGTAATAAAAATACAGTTTATTGTTAGTTCATGTTAACTTCCAGTGCATTAACATTATTAGCAAGAATTAGTTTGGATTTTAATGCATTAGTAAATGCAGAGCTATGATTAATAAATGCTGTACATGCTTTTTCGTTAATAGTTAATGTTGGTAAAAGTTAACATCAACGCAGCCCTATTGTAAAGTGTGACTAAGCTTTTATTACATGATTTTGTGGTAAACTTCAGTCACCAAGACCAGACCCAACTCTGCAGTCAATGTCTTAAATATCTGTTTTATGTATTAAGTTTATCATTTGAATTTTTTTATTAGTGATGAATGATTAAAGCTTTTAGTATGTTAATATTTTAAACTGAAAGGCACAGAAGAAAGCTGCAGGCAGTCTTCATGTACTACAAACTACTTCACGTCTGCAAAAAAATTAGCAATATTATTTTAACGCCCTAGTGAGTAAATGATTATTGATTTTTTTTTCACTAATTAATGTATGGAAGATGACCAAGTGCTATAAGTGGTTGTGGATGGAGGTTTTTTATTTGCCATTCCAATAAAACTGCTTGTCTTGTTGATCATGCATGTAGACTGGGATTTTTATAAAGTCGCTTCAAATTCATACAGAATAGAAATAACCAGAGTTTTAACAGAGAAAAACGGCCTACAGGTACTTGACTGGCCTTCCAGCTGCTACTGTCTGGGAATCCATATAAACTCATTCACTATGGACAATATAGCTTACCCAATTTAACCGTCTTTGGACTTGTGGGGAAAACCGGAGCACCCGGAGAAAACCCACGCAAACGCTGGGAGAACATGCAAACTCCACACAGAAACGCCAACTGACCCGAGGCTCGAACCAGCGACCTTCTTGCTGTGAGGCGACAGCACTACTTACTGCGATACCGCGTCACCGGTTAATTAATTCACTGTTGTCGTTATTTACATATCAAAACAAATCCCGTCAGGCTATTTTAAGCTAATACTTTCCTACCAAAGGATCACGGTGCACCTTTAAATAATGCATTTTACATTTTTATGTTACCACTATCCTTCAAATCACATCATTGTTAGGGCTGAGATGAATTAATAAAGAATGTATATGTGTTTAAAAGACGTTTATAGGCCTACAGTGCTGCTAGTTAAGTCCCAAAATATTTTGTTGCCGATCGTTCATGGCGTCTTCGCTGATAGATGATTCCCGCATTGTGGAGAACAGACTGAATCCAGTCATAACATTGAATTATAAAATGCTAAATTAAATAAAACTTGGCAAACATTGGATCAAGAGCTAAATAAATTCTGTCTGTGAATAAATGACTTGTTTACTTTACCTGTACACAGGGCCGGAGTGGGACTCCTTTTCAGCCCTGGAGTTTCAAGCCTCAGACCAGCCCACCTCAGTTCACGACTGACTATATTAAAATAAGGTAATTTCCAAATCAGTTTCTAATGACACTATCACGTCTTTTTTTGAGAAAACAACTGCTTTAGAACTTCAAATGTTCAACAACCCTAACAGTATTATATATCTTAACAATAAAAATGAAAAAAAAAAAAAAATTACTCAGACGAGGATCGAACCCGGGTCTGCGGGGTCAAAAACCAACGTACTAACCACTGAGCCACATCAGCGAGAAAATAGATAAAAAGAGTAGAGCTGCGGTAAAATAATGAATAAAACGGCTGTGGTCAAATAAATAACTTAGATAAATAAATTTAAAAAGTGTGACTGCTGAGAGCAACCGATTCTGGAGCTAGGGATACCGGCCCTCGCGGCCAAAAAACGGACCGGCCCACCGGGAATTCTCCCGGTCCTCCCGATTAGCCAATCCGGGCCTGCCTGTACACTTTTCTGCGTCGTCTAAGAAAAAACGTTAGTTTGTCATATCCGCTGCACCGAGGGTCACTCGACCAGCTATTAAGAAAACTTTCATTATCATAGAAACGTTAGGTTTAATTTGAAGACATTGTGACTGAAATAAATGCCTTTTACTTACTATTTCTGAAGCCTTTGTGTATTCATAAGGGTTAACGCATTATAAGAATTTTTACTTATACTGTTTTTTTCATGTATTGTTACAATTTTTCGTGATACAACACATTTTAACACCGTTTATAAGGCATTTTGAATGTTATAACACACTCAGAATATCATTGTATTGCATTACAAATACAGACAATAACATAAATTGTTACCAAATATACCTCTCAAATAATACAAACTATTTATAAAGTAACAAATACATGTTTCTCCGATGTTTCAACACTTTCCTGTGTGCAAACAGTAGTGTTAAAAATGAACCTTACCTGCAGTACTTTCTACATAAACTGTGAAATCCCATTTAACCATTTTGTGACTAATTAAAGTAAATTAGTCACAAAATGTACAACGTGGAGACCGTGAATACACACACATACATACACACACACACACACACACACACACACACACACACACACACACACACATATATATATATATACACACACACACACACACACACACACACACATACATACATACATACATATATGTACATATACACACACACACACACACACACACACACACACACACATATATATATATATATATATATATATATATATATATATATATATATATATATATATATATATATATATATATATAAAAGGCTTTGAGGCATCTGGGATGGACCATCACAATGAGAACATGTACTGTGGTCAGATGAATCTGTATTTCAGGTGTTTTTTGGGAGATGGGTGCCGTGTGCTCCGGACCAAAAGAAAGATCATTCAAACTGACCAGCAACAAGTTCAAAAGCCATGTTGTCATGTTACATGGTTATGACAGTGCCCTTTACAATGGTAACTTGCACTTCTACGATGGCATTTTTTAATGCTGAAAAGGACAGAGAGATTTTGAGAACAATATGCTGCCCTCTTATCCAGAGACACCCATGAATATTTCAACAAGGCAATGCAAAACCACATTCTGAACAAACTACAAAGTCCTAGCAACAGAGAAAGAAGATACAGGTAGTTGACAGGCCTGCCTGCAGTCCTGACCTGTCTCCAATAGAGAATCTGTGGTGCATTTTAAAGTGGGAATTTTTCAATTACACCTGAAACACTTGATCACTTGGTGTCTTCAGTCCCTAAACATCTTTTTAATTGTTGTGAACAATTAAACATTACAAAGTGCTAAATGCTTTACTGTTCCACCTTTTTTGAAACGTGTTGCAATGTTTGTTGTATTGTCTGCAATGAAATACAAGTCAAAGTAAATTTAGAAATCACAATTTGTGTTTTCCATACTGTCCAAACCTTTTCTGATTTGAGGTTATATATATGAAACAACTAAATGAATAGAGAAAATAAAGCAAAACAGAAAGAAAATAGTGATGACAAAGGCCAAACAAAAGTCAGAAAGACAAGTCATTTATAAAGAGTTTATTACCAATGCTCAAACACACACACACACACACACGCGCGCATACACATATTCACAACCATGTTCACTCACACTGAACTATACAGTACACTTTCTTCTCTTTCTTTCTTTCCCCTCAGTTAATCTTTGTGATCCAAAAAAGAAAAAAAAAATCCTATGAATGAACTGCTCACAAATAAAATTAAATCTTCTGTCCCCTGATTGGCCAGCCCTGATCTAAAAGACGAGACAGACGATGATTGAAATGACGGCAAAATGTCACAATCTTTTTCTAAAAGTGATAGGTAAGCATTAAATAATAATATTAATAATAAAAGGCTTTCTGATTCGACAGCTAACGTCCACTGATTGGCTGAACTGTCGTCCAATCAGAGGGCACTGATATGGTCTCCAGCATCCTGGTGGTGTAAATCCTACATGGCTGGCTAGTCAAGGCCACTGATGAGATTTGCCCCTCATGTATTAAAAAAAGAAATAGCCTAAGAGGCAGACAATCAATGTCTACAAGATACAATTTGAAATACGAGCCAAAGATGGGGCTCCTCCATGTCAAATAATTATTTTTTTTGGAGTGTGTGTGTGTTATGAGCAACTTTCGTTTTTAGAGCGACCAACAGTTCTTCATCCATCTATATGATTAGATAAAAGCCCATCGAGAACAAATATCAGCCTTTGTAGAAAAACAAAAACATTGTTTGATCTTATCAATAACT